ATGCACTGTTTGCAGATGCATCAAATTCACATGGCGTAATTCCAAGGTGCTATGTAATAATTACAAGAAAGAAAATGAAGGAATATGTTATGTGTTTCAGTAATTAATGCTAATTAATGTGCAACTAGTTATCTAATTATTTTAATTATTCAGCTTTAATACTTGCACAAAAAAGGTTGATGATTAGGCCCAAAATACACGCAGTTTTTTTTTTTTTCGGTACTCATTTCGAACATGTATTCATTTAATTTTTATGCCTAATAGTGTCACGTTATCTTATTACGAGCTGGAAACAGACCAATAATCCCTCGTACACTACCTGAATGCATCAAGCCTGCCAGAACGAGAACTTCGCTATGCATGAAGGAAAGACGCGAAAATTCAAGGGCTTATTTTTCTGAGGGCTATTTTTTCAAACGCGTTATTTGAAAGTCGCAGGTTCGGACCTTGCCAATGCAAGCTATGTTTTCATCCACTTTTTTTTTTCCATAGATTGAAATTGCATCGTTGTCTATTACTTCTCATTAATATTGAGTCTACAAAACAAAAATGAGCCCTTAAATTTATACGCCTTTCCTTCAGTGAAAAATAAAGTAGCAGATAAGTAAACAGAAAGCAAAAAAAGTTGCAAAGCATAACAGTAAGTATTACGTAGGAATAATATAATACGATTATAATGCAATACATAAATGAATGAAAAGTATATTACAGCCACAATACAATTTCATAAATTATACGTTATGTATTCAAAGCACGTGCATGTGACAGTGCTATGAAAAGGCAAAACATAATCGAATTAACCCATTTGCGACCGATGACAAATGGAGTGCAGACATCATGAGACTTCATTCAGGACCAATGACGACTAGACTCGTCAACAAAAATCGGAGCTATATCTGCTGTACTTGAGTTTTTCTATGCAAGATGGCCCCACTGCTCCATGTTTTTCCCGCATCCTCCTCCTGCGTCTTGCATTTCATTGCATTGCTGCCTCTGACAACGTGCATTCTCTGTCTTTTAACACAGTTTGGAAAATAAAATAAAGCTATTTCACGATGTAATTGTATTGATTCATTCAGACAAAGAAACTCTACAAAATGAGGGGAAAAAATTTTAATCATTTTCTCAAGTATTCCTTTTTTTTTTTTGCCAATCGTGAAAGGGGTGAGGGGGCCATGACACGGTCACCCAACAATTTGTGGTTTTCAGCAAAAACTAGAATCAGATTGTCTATTATGCATTTCGGAACATTTCAGTGCACAACGGGCCCTTGAAGTTTGCTGCTGCGAATCCCACCCACCACAACCGCCATTGTATAGTGGCTGCTAGCCACTGTAGTCATTGCTATCATGCTTGTGGGGTCATATGCAGCAAGGAGTGGTGTCATCATCACAGTTACTACCACAATTTTCTGTCACAGTATGAGCCGCTGCAAATCATTCAAATTCAGGGCCAAGCAGAAAAATGCTCAAATTTCTCTATTTAATGTGCTTTGATTGATTTGTGGGGTTTAACGTCCCAAAACCACCATATGATTATGAGAGACGCCGTAGTGGAGGGCTCCGGAAATTTTGACCACCTGGGGTTCTTTAACGTGCACCCTCTATTTAATGTGCTGCTGACCACAGAAAAATATTGTTTGCCAAATGCATACGGCTGCACAGCCAGCTGCTCGTTACATCACTGCTCGCGAGTGCACCACTGTGTCCAGAATCTCGGGCCATTCACGTATTTATGAAGATATATTGAGTCAAACATTGAGAGCTCGACAAAATACAGCCAAAAGTATCACCAGTTTTTGAGAATGCTCGAGGATTAACTCACACAACTAGGATTATGATTGAAAATTGGGTGTCATGTCCCCTTTAAAAACCACCCATTTTTTTTCCCTGGTAGACCATAGTTTATTTAGTACCATGCACGTGCAGGTGCGTTCAATAAGTCATTTTGAACCACCTGTTCACTGCCGATGGCAGGGCCATTGGAGCGAACCTTTTTTCCTGGGTGTGGTTCGGCGAAGCATGAATAATGAGCCTTACCTTATGCAGGGACATGCCCGGATGAATAGCCACAGTCCGCTCCTATGGTTACATTTTTTGCCTTGTTTAAGAGATGCAGTGCTATCACGGTGTGTGCATGGTGTGTGACACACGCACACACACACACACACATATATATAAAATGAAAGAAGTGTGTACACTTCTTTCCTGTATATATATCAGCTCACAATATATATATATATATATATATATACACACATACATACACCTCTCTGTGGCATGTTATGTAGTGTACACCAATTGTTTATATGGCACATTTTCGCTAATATACAGTAAGACCTCGTTAATTTGAAGGACCATGATAAATCTTCAAATCAAGCGAGTTTTCGAATTAACGAAGCTTGGAATTATTTAAAGTAATTGCAGTGCAAGTCGTTTGCTGTGCCGGCTAGTTAGCTTCTTCAAGGGTCATGTTTTATAGCAATACCAGGCCACAATTTCACCACCACAAACAAGGGGGAACGCTGGACCTCGCTGCTGCCAGGGAGAAAGAAAAAAACATCACGATTTAACTGAAATGAGCTCTTGCAAAAAAAAAAGAAAATTTCACTAAAAAACAGCAGTGACATGCGTGCAGAGTGTCGTCTTCCCCTCGCTGCGTCAGCACGTCGTGACTCGACCATTTGGCCGTTCTTCTAGTAGAATAAAGAATTTGATAATGGATAGTGTTCCGCCAGCAGTGCAAGGGTGAAAATTGCTGGAGTAAACGGCACTCAGAAGTTCGCATGCATCGCTAATTTCGCCAGACTGTTCTGTATTGTGTTCTTTTTTTTATTCCCGGAAAGAATGCGTAAATCATGACGCGGTGACATTGCGAGAAGCATGCCACATGCTGCCCGCGTGTCCTCGCTGTTTTGTGAAGCGCGTCTTGTTTTCGCAGGCGCACATTTCAATTGATCATGAAACCGCTTTTTTGTTTTTGGGGGGAATTTTATTTTTCAGCCTGGAATTATCAACCTTGGTGTGCTTCAGCTGCCACTCATTAGCATTGCTGCAGCATTGCTGCAGCTTAGTGGCTCTTTAGGGCTGTTGTTCTCGCAGTTTTGCGGCCTAATGAGGATCGGGAATCGGCACACTGCATCCAAAGTTTTCGAATTAACCGGACTCGTGCTAATCGCCGTTTCAATTATCCACTCACACCTGCATTGCAAAATATGGTACCGCTGAAATACTTCTAACTAAGCGGGATTCCTATATCCAAGTTTGATTCAATGAGGTTTTACTGTAGTAGTAGTAGCAGTAGTAGTAGTATTTTTATTTACAGTAAGCCAGATACAGAGCTCACTGCAGGGGCAAAGGGCTAAAGGCGAACAGCCTGACAAAGGCCCTTGTCCCTCCGCAGTCCGTTACAGTGCAAGCTTAAACAATATATATATTCGATACATTGGTTTCAAGCAACCTGAAATTGTAAACACAAAATTCAAACATAAATAGCATAAGAAGTTTACATAACACATTTTAAGAATTAGAGGTCACTCTCGTTATAATTCACAACTAAACAATATCAATGAAACAACTCAAAAACAGACATAAGATGCATGTGGATACAATGAATTCCGCGGTATACACTCTTATAATTGACATATAAGTTTATGAACAATTTAAGCATTTGCAGAGGCATGAGACTCCATTACGTAGTTTCGATAGTGTAGACCGGTGGTTATGAATAAGTTCTTTATTTGTTTCTTGAAAGTCGCACTACTAGCCCTAAAGTTCAATTGATCTGCAAGGGTATTTAAAACCTGAGGTACCTGGTAAGCAATACTTTGTTTTCCATACTTGGTTCTTGTTCAAGGAGCTCGCTTCTTTTGCACGCCTAGTATAAACACCTAGTATAAACTAGGTGTTGGGAAAGAGCGAGATATATCGAGCTTTAGATGACTTCAACCTCCTGCACGATAAAGTTGTCTTCATTGAACTTTAGCAGCAGTGTGGTGTTGCATATGATCATTTTCCACAAAACACTAACAAATTCATATTTGGCTGAGTTAATTTGAAATAAAAATTATACTTTCCATATAACTTGCAGGCAGCAGAAAAGCAAAAGACTCCTTGAAAGTGGTTGTGCCTACAGCAAAGTGACCATATGGAAGAACAGTACACTGCAGAATAATGTTAAATGTAGACAAATGTATTATGCAAGACATTCGCTTTATGCTAAGCTCTTTGTTAGCTCCTAGTTGGCACAAATAGCAAATACAAGTGGTGTTATACGCAATTGTGTGCATAGCATCTCTAAGGGTTAAAGAATTTACTATTCTGAGAAGCGAACAGTAAATGCCAAACATTTCGGTTTTCTGATAAAGGTATTTCACAGCACAATCATTCAATAACTGAAGACATTGTGTAGCAGTCACAGCATAGGGCAGCTGGAAATGAAGCGTAATACATCACAGAAATGTGATTGTGTAGCAGTCACAGCATAGGGCAGCTGGAAATGAAGCGTAATACATCACAGAAATGTGAAGAGCATAACGCAGCTGTCTATTCATTGGCCAGGGGTGGACACTTGGCAGATCGCTGCCGCAGGTGTTCGTGCGTGCCTGACTTTAAGGGCACCCATATCTTGTCAGCAAGCCCTTGAAGTCTATGAGGCATAAAGCATCAGTTTAGAAGTTCATTAATGCGTGAATGCAGTTTCACTGGTTTTGCAGGCCAAAGAAACTGAGTGTCTTAGGTAAAATTGTAGGTATCTGCATCAGTAGTTTCGTCGTCACCTTTTTGTGGGGTTTGCATGCATGCTTCTATATTTTAATCATTTTATGTCAGTAAACTCTCAGTTGATGTCTAGTGCCTGTCCTGTTTACGTGTTTATTTCTATTTCGTTACACTTGCTAAGATGCACAAGTGTTCACAGAAAGGCTTCAGCATTTGTTGCCCTATTAGACAGGGTTATTCTGTTATATTCATTTGATGCCATCCCACCACTAACTCATTCAGGTGCCAGTGATGATTCCATTGGCTGTGCCATTATGCTGGAGATCCTTCACGTCCTTTCGAGGAGGAAAGAACCGCTGCCCCATCCCGTCATTTTCCTGTTTAATGGAGCGGAAGAAAACATCCTGCAGGTTCGTGCATACATTTTTCCTCTTAGGCTTTCTTTTTTTGTTGTTTCCTAGTGTCTGCAAAGACAATTGGAGCTGTCATTCTGCCAGTATCTTCAGAGTGCACACAATGATCTGTCAGCAGAGACAATTCATCTGTCTCCTTGTCAGTGATGGTAGGTCACTTGTAAATGTTGCTGTGTCCCACTTCTCCGAGCTAGCTCACTGCCTGCCATGCCATGTGTGCGCATTTGCATAGCGTTGTAGGTCTCAACAACTATTGATGGCACATTGGCCATATAAACACACTCTTTTGAGACTTCCTGTATCTCTTACCAACAAAGCAAACATGCAACAATAATACCTAAGCCATATTTTTACATTTAGGAAATTAAGCTGCAGTATGAGCAAAAATGCTACTTATATCGAATTTGTCACATTATTTTAGCAATGTTTTTGCTTCATTTGCTCTTGGAGTATTTTCATTGTTTAATGTAAGCACATCTGAAACAGCAAATGTAAATATATTAGTGGTGAAAAAAAATGTAGATTTTATGGGAAAAGCTAACAATATTACAATTTTTCAACAATGTGAAAAGTAAATGAAGTTAAAGCAAAAATGAACAAACTATCATAGTCATGAAACAGTGGGGCCTTGATTTTAAAGAAAAAAACTGTTTTGTAGTAATTGCTCAGACCAGTAATAATATATAAGTTATTTAGCATCACTTAGTTTATTTTGATGCCCAAAGTTTGCACCACCTACTAAGCAGCACAAAATATTTTTCCAAAATGTAACTCTCGGCACGTTGACTGTAGCTTGCGACTGGCAGTGTTATTGTCACGTAGCAGTATATATATACACATGCACTTTACTGACATGAGGTCCAACATACTAGTATAGCTATTAATGTAAAGCTGTGAAGAGTGTCTAAAAGCTTCAAGTCTTGTGTTAAAAATAACAGTAGTCACAATGTCGATCCCGATACAGTTAATCTTGTCACTCTCAATTTCTTGTAGATAGACTTTTTGTGATGGGGATTTTCTAAAACATTTACCTTTTTCTATATGCTTTTTGTCCAGCAATCTCCAGCTGTAATTCCTTATTTGCTTTTGGCGACAGTAGCTGTTATATGTTTTTCTGTTCCTGACATAAGCCAGTGCTCCACAGAAGCTCAATAGTAATAAGTTTTCTTAGGGTGCAAAGAAAGTTTTGAATTCCGCTCAGCTGAGGCAGTTCTTCAATCTTGCCTCCCTCTCTCTTTTGCATCAGGGCTCACATGGTTTCATCACGCAACATAAGTGGTCAAAGGAGGTGGCCGCCTTTGTGAACCTGGAGGCCTGTGGTGCAGGGGGCAAGGAATTGCTCTTCCAAGCAAGTAAGGTGCTTTTGCATGGCTCCCCTTAGTAATTAATGAAAAGAGGTATTAAGGGCCTGTTTTTCTTTGCTAGAAACAATGTTAGTTAGAACAGACAAGAAAAACCAAAGACGGCATAGGGGATCTTATTTGTAGTATAATTGTTATGTCTATACCTTCGAATAACACACGTCCAAAGCGCTACCAACTGAGTAGCAGCGGTGGTCATCTCCCTGTCCAATTTAAATGGTTTTTATATGTGCTCCTGTGATGTGTTAGTGCCGCTAGGATGACAGCTTTCTTTAATTTGTAGCCTACGGAAATAAAATTTTTGCTGTTAACATACGTTTTTATACCCATTTCAAATATGTATTCAGTCTTCTGGTAAGTTGCATAGTTATCGTTTTGTGCCGTGGCAAAGTGCAAAATATAGCTCATATTACACAGATTTTCTGTCACTAAACATTTATAATTATGAGTCATTTTGGCTCGTATTGCCCCACATTAACTGTAGAATACAAGCAACTATCAAAGTGTGTGTAATATATATAAATGAACAAGAAAAATTATAATCTGAGAAGTATTGAAACTTTCAGCCAATGTTGGTTGCTTATTTGAAATTATAGATAATTATAAAAATTACATGCTTTAAAGGAGCTAATTGCACTCTTGATCTAGCCAACATAAGTACCAAAACCATGCTGTCTATATCTAGAAGTTGCCGAAAACGGCATCTTGTGAAAACCACATTTTAAATGTAAAAATGAAAGCTGATCTGTACGGCAATAACGTGCTTTTTAAAATGATTTCTCCCATCATGAGAGTTTGGAAATCATGGTTATTTTGAGCATGTGGCTTGGTGAACTCCTCATGCGAAATGCAGTGGCAAGCAGCCAGGGGACCATTTTCATGGGACTCTAGACAATGTTTTCAGATTTCTATAGCTAGCTAGTAGTGCTTGTTGAAGGTAATTTCAGCTTACTTCAAGTATAACTACAACCTGCATCTTTGTTCCACTAGACTTGTGGAAGTAAATAAAAACAACAAATATGCCATTTTAAAACATCTCACCTAAAATTTGCCAGGCCTGCATGCAATGGACAGCACAGTAAAAGTTGAAAGAGCGCCTTTCGTAGAGCCTTTTTTAAAAACTGTTGGGGCAACTGCTACAGGTACACCTGCACAGCATCCTCCACACCATAAATCCTAATACTATTGTGAAGCAGGGAAGCAACCACTAGCCAATTATTCATTCTTCAGAGAAGCGTGGTGTTCACTAACATAGGTCGGCAAGCAAAAGAGGAGCTTACAAGGACTCACTCAAATAATTAAGATATTTTGCGCTTTGGAATCATTCAGACTCAGGCTCACCAAATTTTTCTTTAGCAGGATTCACTCAGACTAACACCCACAGAAAGTTTCTTCAACCGGACACAAAGTTTCCAAAATATTACTCGCCCAGACTCAAACTCGTGGCTCGATACGAGTCTGGGTGAGTCGACTCATGAGTGAGTTTGCAGACTCATGCCTATACACACCTCTGAGGCATTACGTCAACTGTGTTGATTCTGTGGCTGATGACGATGAAAAATTAGGGCTGAGCCTTTTGTGATAAGATGGAAGCATTCAACGACCCACTCATTACGCAGTTCGCGATTCGCTCTACCAACTGAGCTACAGGCACTACTGCTCTGTTGGTAGAGCATCGAACACATTTATGCGAAGGTTAGCTGTTGCCAGCAGCAAGTTATCTTTTCTTTTTCTTTTCTTTCTTTTTTTCTTCTTCTTTCCTTTTTCTGTTTAGATTACCTTAACTACTATTATAACTAGTATTATTACTAGTTATTAGTTATTTTGGGCAAACTTATTATTGAACTTAGCATCATTATTATGCCTTCAATAATGTTTAATTTTTGCATAAAAAGAATAAAATCATAGGCTTTTAAATGTGTGCAGTTCTTGGTTGCATTTATTTTGAAAGAACAAGAGTGATACTTTCGACGTCTGTTCTGGAATGCTGTGCATCGAACAGCCTGTCGAGCATTGTACTGCATTCACCGAAGTAATCGATGATGGTTATACACAGCATACTGAGATTTAGTCAAGACATGTCGATTATGCAGAAGGTTTGATTTATTTAATGAGCCATGTACCCTGCTCTCTACTGAACTTATGTTGAAACAGCTAGCATAAAAAAGTTGCATACACAAACGTAGCCACTGCCACTAAGGAGGATATTCGAACCTTTTGTCTTTGTATTAGGTCCCAGTGACCCATGGTTGGTGAAGGCATATGTGGATGGTGCTACGAGACCGTTTGGGTCCATCGTTGCGGAAGAAGTTTTTCAAAGTGGCCTTATTCCGTCTGACACAGATTTTCGTATCTTCAGAGATTTTGGAGGCATACCAGGCAAGGCGCTCTTTTGTGCTTCTGTTAATTGCTTTTCTAGTAAAAACTTCACCAGTGATTACCATACTGCCTAAGCAAACTCTGAACGCAGCTTCGTTTTGGGGCAAGGCTAACTGTGCTTGGAGTTTTTGCAAAGTGTCAACTATGCCATAAATCATAATTTTTGTGAAGTAGGACAGCACCCATTACATCATTATTCGTCTTTCTGCGGGTAAGCGATGTACCCGCCACACATCTGTAAGATATTTATGGCTGAGACCTTTGCAGTGGGTGGGAAGCATTAATCCACACACTGATCGCAGAATTAGTAACGTGTGAGGACTGGTTGTCATTTTACTCTTCTGCCATACTATATTAGATAGAGTAACACAATTGCTTGCCCGACCTGACACCTGTTTATATTCTTCTTGGCACTGAGTTTGAATCCCCAGCATGGCTCAGTGGTAGAATACTCCACTGCCTTGCAGAGGGCTCACCCTCGAACTGTTTTCGATGCTGGCTTTTATGCCATCAACGGTGACGGCAATGCCGCTCAAGCTGCACTCTGAAGTTAAGCACGTGCTTTGGTTAGTGGATAGTGTGTGACACTCCCTTCAGCTAATGCTAAGCCAACCACAAGCCTGTTGCTCTCATGAGACACTAATTCAATTAGTTCAGTTGGACACCAATTCAATTCATCTTCTACTCAAGTTTCAGCTGGTCGTTCAACTTCGGTGCCAAGCAGAAAAAGGAACATCTCGAGGTCACGTGTAGCTCAATAATATTGTTCGCCGGACGCTTGCAGAACTAGCTGTTTGTTCCTACAATATTTACTAGAGGGAACTCTGGTGCTACAATCGCTCAGCCACCATGGGAATGTTGGGTAGTACACGGATTTGCCTAATCTTCTTGCTTGCGGCTTCAAATGCCTTTGTGGCTTTACTGTTTTGTCTTGGTGTTTGTTTCGTATAAATGAATTGATCGTTGCGAACATTGTGGGTCAGTTTCTACTGGTGAGTCTAAAAAAGGCTAAAGTGATGAAGTTGAACAGTTAAACATTTCCTGAACTTGATCTTGCAACAAACCGGATTTATGCCCCACGAAGCCAAACGGAGCCGAAAATACAAAGTTTCGACAAATCCGTCTCTCCTAGAAAACACACTAGTCTTACTGACAGTAATACCATGGGCATAACAGTATGTGAAATTCCATACCAATTCTTCCTGAATATGCTGCTACTTACTACTGTGGCTTTACCTGCAGTGCTGTGCATGTAGAACTTGTTCAATGCCTAGAATTCATGCTTCATTGTCCCCCTTACTATTTATCAACAGGCCTTGATTTTGCCTTTGCCGAAAATGGCTACGTGTACCACACAAAGTACGACAACATGGACTACATCCCAGATGGCTCAATTCAGCATGCAGGCAAGTGAGCTCTTTTTGTTTATGTTTTGGTGCACTACCAAGTACAGCATCGGTCGTAAAAAGGAGAAACACAGGGTAAAACTAACAACTTAATTTATTTTGAGCACAGACAAACTTATATACAAAAAGGATGGAACATAAAAAGGGAGAAATTCAGTAATAATAACAGTAGAAAAAATATAAATAGCATAACCAAGTATCAAAAAATGTAACCAACATGTGCCGAGAGGTATGTACGCGGTGACATAGTTAACACAAAATGTCATATACTTCCTTTTGTACAGAGTGAAGGAGAGATATCAAGGAAGTTTGAGAGGGTAACCGAATGCACCTTTCGCTGATATGTGGTGATGTAGCTTTGTTCAAATTAACGTCTTCAAGTAAACCTTGTCACCACATGTGTAACCCTTCACATGTGTCAGTGACACTGTTTGACACCCTGATATGGTTTCTTTTTTTTTTTTTTTTTTTCACAGCATTTCCTCTTTTGGTGTTCCTTTCTTCCTCGTGCACGAGTCTGTGCAGGCTCAAAATAAAGTACACTAGTTGTTAGTTTTCGCATCACCGTGCGTCGTCACGCTGTCGTACCTGGTCACCACATGTGTAACCCTTCACATGTGTCAGTGACACTGTTTGACACCCTGATATGGTTTCTTTTTTTTTTTTTTTCACAGCATTTCCTCTTTTGGTGTTCCTTTCTTCCTCGTGCACGAGTCTGTGCAGGCTCAAAATAAAGTACACTAGTTGTTAGTTTTCGCATCACCGTGCGTCGTCACGCTGTCGTACCTGGTAGTGTATCACACATGAAGACGTACCATCTAGCCCCCATTGCAGCCTTACTAGCTCTCTTTGCTCCTGCATGCTGCCTGTTTGCACCATATAGTGTACAAACTTTCATAATAGGTCTGTGGCTGAGGCATTGAGCTGCTGCGCAAAATGTTCAGGGTTTGATTCTCAGCTTTCTTCTGCTCCATACTCAGGTAAAAGCTTAATACAATAATTTTTGTGCCCTGTGCGCAAGGAGGAAATGACATCTGCTCCTCTGTTAAAGCCTACATCACAGCAAAATCATGCGAGGCAGTTATTTGTTATTTTTAACTGTATCAAAATCATTCTGACATGAATTGTTGTGAACAAAGAAACATACAAGAAGATTAGACGACGCAAACAAACAGGGAAGAATAAGTAAAAGGGACCGGTATAAACTAGACCAACAAGTTTTACAGAAAAAAAATGTAGCGGTCATAGGTTGGGCCCAGATCGACAACCTTCAAATTACATGTCCAATGCTTTACTACTGAGTTAAAACCGTTAGTGCTCCTGTCATGCATTTATTTCTTTGTACCTAATATATATACCTTGCACCTAAAAGCTTTGCACCCATTTCTTCATGTTAAAAAAAGAACTGATACTGCCACATACGTTTCTTTATTCTATGTAACTGGCTCACTACATATGGCTCTATGCTGCCTTGAACTAACCACACCTGAATGACACGAAAATATTTTAGATAAGAGCCATAGCTGGTTAAGAGGAGGGGTGAAAGGTTCTGACACTTCTCCTGCCCAAATTTTTCCATGCCCTAACTTTTCAGGTGATACTAAATTATTAACATGCCTTGACAGCAACCACCAGTTGTAAAAGTTAACCATGTTACACACAACCCCTCCCTCCTTTCCCCGAAAAAATTCTTGGGTACGTTCCAGTTGAAGATTACCTTACAATTTACAATTTTCCGACAAAAACACATACAACATGGATTAGAGTTCATTCCAGAACTCAAACTGCCACCAGCGATAATCTTTGATGGCACATGTAAAATGCTAATGCGCTTTACCGTTTGGCAGATTAATCAATGGTTGCTGACAGTTTTCGCCACTACCAGTGTACAGTCTTTATTGTAAGGTAAGAAAAGAACACCTCAGCCCGCACTATAGGATTTACCAGTGTACCGCGTGAATTGTTTGTACTTGTTGTAGCCAACGCGACGCAAAGGCAGCCAGAGCAAGACCAAGGAGTCAGGGCTGAAACTCGCGTCACGGTGGTGACTGTCGTGGTGGCACTTTTGGTTGGCCTGAGATGCCAGGAGTCGATCACGGGCAACGGGACGTGCCGTTGCCACGCGAAGGATGGCGTCATGAGCGCAAAACATGGTTGACTTTGTCTCAGAAGGAAGTAGTGAGTCGAGAGCCAAGAGCTGGTCACGGCCATACAATAGATAAAACAGAGAATAACCAGTAATGTTGTGACAGGACGAATTATAGGCAAACGTCACGAGTGTAACGTGCAGTCCCAATCCAGGTGGTCCTCAGACACGTACATGGATAACATGTCCGTGAGTGTACGGTTCAAGCGCGCAGCAATTCCATTTGTTTGTGGATGGTAGGCCGTGCTGAACTTGTGAGACGTTGCACAAGAGCGGAGAAGGCCATCGACAACTTTCGAAAGGAATTATCGACCTCGATCAGTCAGCAGCTCACGCGGGGCACCATGGTGTAAGACGATTTGATGTAGAAAAAAATCAGCGACATCAGTTGCACAGTTGGTAGGAAGAGCTCGCGTAATGGCATAACGTGTCGTATAATCAGTCGCTACGGCCACCTACTTGTTACCTGCAGACAGACTGCGTTAGAAAAGGACCAAGGTGGTCCAGGCTGACACGAAAGAATGGTTCGCTGGGGATAGCTATGTGCTAAAGGTACATAGCAGGAGAGAGAAGGCTTTTTTCGGCATTGGCAGAGTTCGCAGGAAGCGACGTAGCGCTGAACCGAGTGGTATAGGCCAGGCCAGAAGATCGTAAGTTCGGTAAACACACCAAATCGCCAGCGGTGGGAGCATCGTGTCATTGCGAAAGGATAGTTGAACTCAAATGCTCAGGAACAATGAGGAGCAGTTCAGCACCATGTGGTGTCATATTGCGTCGAATGGTAAAACGTCACGCTGTCATGCAGAGTGAACATACGGAGGAAGCCGTCCCGTGGTGTCGAAGTCAGGCTTTGTATAAGGGATCGCAAATATTAATCGCGGCGCTGTTCATCGGTGACGTGTACGAAATCGTTGAGCGACCAAACACAGGTATCTGAATCACTTTCGGTGGTGTCAGGTGGGTCGACCGGAAAACGGGAGAAGCAGTCGGCGTCCTTGTGTAGCTGTCCTAACTTGTAGGACACTGAAAATGTGTATTCTTGGAGGTGTAAAGCCCAGCGACCGAGGCGCCCCGTAGGATCTTCGAGTAAGGAGAGCCAACATAAGGTGTGATGGTCTCTTACCACAGTGAAATGCCGTCTGGACAAATATGGGCGAAACTTGGCAATGGCCCAGACAAGGGCTAGGCATTCACATTCTGTGATTGAGTAATTGCGCTCTGAGCGTGAAAGAGGGCGGCTAGCATAAGTGATTACACGATTGAGCTCTCTCTGTCGCTGGGACAAAATAGCGCCAATACCATCGCACCTTGCATCCATACGGACTTCCGTGTGAGCAGATGGGTCAAAATGACCCAGAATGGGCGGATTCACAAGGCGACTCGTAAGCGTCGAAAATTCCTGAGCTTGCTCAGGTCCCCAACTGAAAGGGCTGTCCCTTTAAAAATACCGGTGAGAAGACGAGCAATTTCTGCGAAGTTCTTTATAAAGCGTCTGAAATATGAGCACAACCCCAAGAAGCCACTTGATCTTTTCCAAGTAGGCACCACGAGAGAAGAGCATGTTTCCTGCAGATCTTCAGAGGGCAAAAGCTGGCTTCACTTTTGCTGGCAGAGCACTGTAAGAGCTTTCACTCTAGCTATTTTTTTAACGTTCTTTATTTCACCGCTCAGGTGACAACATGCTGGGACTCATCCTTAAAATCCTGGAGGCTCGAGAACTCAATGAGGGCAGCAGCTCGCTAGGAGGCACTGGAGACACGGATGTCATTCGTGCGGTGTACTACGACTTCCTTGGTGTGTTCATGGTGACCTACTCGGTGTCTGTGAGCAGCATCGTGGTCAAGCTCATCATCGTCATCTCCCTCATTTCCATGGCGCTGCGGATGAAAGCTTCTGCTACTGGCGGTGAGTTATTTGCTGGGCTTTATACCAAACATACCCGCACTTAAGCTTCCCCTGTGTGTAGACTATTTTTTGTCTGGGCGCCGGCGTCTTGGACTGTTAAGTCACTGCTTTCCTGTTTTTGTATATTGCAACGTGAATTGATAGGGTCACGAAATACCGTAGGCACCAACCCAACTGCGTCTACCGTAACCCTGTTCATTTAGCTGTTAAAGATGCAAAACACATAAGTTAACACCGCAATATGGCGGCACTCAAACCAGTCCGTAAATACCCACTTTCAGGCGCAAAAATATAAAACTAAATATTAGAATGTACCTAAAGCATGGCCTCCAAGATTGTGTTGTGTTGCATGTGCTGCGTCACTCGAACACCGTGTTGCAGAAGACGATCGGCTCTGGGAGGACGCCAATAATGTCAGCTCATCCGACAGTGATTAGACATTGAATAGCTAAGTGAAAAGTTGATACCTGCCACCAGCTTTTTTTTTTCTTTTCAGTTATCCATCACACTAGTCGCCATGGCACTACAGTGTGTTAATGTGTAGCTATAGGACCAACTCATGTGTTACCCAAGCAAGAGTTGATGTACAAAAAGTGCCACTTATTCTTTAGTACATACGGGAGTCATATAAGAGGAGAAGTGAGTTTTGAAAAAAAATTCTTTATTAGTGGGCTTAAGTTAATGAAACTGTACACGCAGATCCTAAATCAAGCAAGTTTTTAATGCGGTAGCATTCAAAGCTCACTTTGCAGAAATTCCAGCATCACTGTCCACGTCGTTGGATATAAGCAAAAAGCTATCTTGTCCATGAGCAGAAAATCAAGATGCAAATAAAATAATGAAAATTTTTGGTCAAGCACAAAAGCGGTTGGTGGCAGAACTGCCAGAGAGCTAGTCCAGCCAGTTTATATGTGGGGTTTAACGTCCCAAAACCACTATACGATTATGAGAGACGCGGTAGTGGAGCTAGTCCAGCCAGTGATGTAAAATAAATGGATACAAATACGAGTGAAAATTTCTTGCTTTAAACACTTTATGATAATCAAATATCATTTTATAAACAACATTACAAGAAAATAAATTGCATCATCAACTAGCCCAGCTTTTGGCAACCTTGCCACATACTTTCCTTTTGTGTTTGACAAATAGAAATCGCCAGAAATCTACATAATAAATATAGTAGAAAATGTTAAACTAGCATATATTACTGTTAATAGCTTGCCGAGATTTGAAATCTGCAAAAAAAGAACCAAATAAGTGCATTAAATTTGATTCCGTTCATCTTAATAGAGAAAAGCCAGGACTGCACAGCACAGTCACAGCAAAAGCTGGAAGAGTGGCCTTTCAGAGTCTGTGTTGAACACTTTTAGGGTAATTGCTACAAGCACACTTGCAGAAAACCCACTACACCATAAATCGTCTTAATTCATTTCTTTTTAGAAAAAAAAAAAGGGTTGTAGACTTGTTATGAAGGTAGTCCATTTCTTTCCATGGCAGCACAACTAATGGGGTGTTGATACAATCTGTGTCTTTAATTTTAACGCAATAGTGTTAAAGAGCTCGTGTCGCAGAAAACCCGCCGCCAGCGTCGGGGCTGTTGGTTGTGAGCGAAAAATCGTCTGTGCGTCTGTGACCGAAAAATCAAGTTAGCGAGATAACCGCGGGAGGCCGCTACTTGTCCACACATGCGTGCGATCACACTGAAAAATCCGCACAATTCGAAGAAAAAAAGTTCTCAAGGTCACGAGGCGCGGTAGTTTCTTTGCCCTGCCAACCCTCCCTACTTAGCTTCCAGCTCATTCGTCGGGACGAGAGAAGAGATAATGCAATTGCAGCATGTGACAAACCTTTGTAACTCTACTCGCTCTGGATTCTTGAAATTTTTGTGGCGTTGAATTCGTGAGGCAATTAGCTCTTCTAGTGAATTCGTTCCATGGTTATTTGAAAGTGTTTCAGGGCCCCTTTAACGCATTTGGTTCGACAGGTGTCACGACGAAAATGAGCCCATTCGGTGCACTGGTCCAATTTACTGTGTGCGTGTTTGTGTGCATGTATGTGCATGTAACAAAACATGAATAAGTATGCACTTAGCGGCTGAAGGGTGCACTAGGGGCCCGATTTCGCTATTGCGTTCAACTCTCAAAGGCGAAGCTTAAGGGTCTCCCAATTTTTTATGGCGTACCCGCGCATGCACGTCCTTCCTTATTTCAATCACTTCCGTGCTGTCAAAACATGCCTTGCACCCACATGTCCGACAATGGGCTTAGAGGTGGCCTGCGATTGGGCATGCCTGAGCATTGTTTGCGTCTTCTCTAGCTCTGCCGTTCATGCAGCGTTCCATTTGCCTCTATGTGCGGACTTCATAACTAGTGTGTAAATTTTTAAATCTTTTTAGCCTGTATAATCTTTGACCACATGTTTTTAACTGTAGATTGCCGGACCATTGTATTCTGCAGAGGGTTTCAATGAAACGCCAGTTGCTAGCACTGTCTTGTTGTTTCTTTCTTTGATCCCTGCATTTAAATTTAGCTCCAACCACTCAACATGCAAGGTCACCAACTCATTTTGATCACTTTTTTCCCAATTTGCCCTGTGTAACTCTGTATAGTGTTTTGTGGAAATAAAGCTTACATACATACAGTAGGCCCTATACGTCTGTTTTTTGCAGTAAACCACAAGTTGGTAGATGCCCGAGTCTGGTCCCTTTAAAGAATCCATAACTTTAAGTGTCCATGACAAGATCTAGTTAACCAAGAGAAAAGATCTTGGGCTGGAATATAGACGCTCTCAAAGCAAGCGGCTTGTTACGTCACGGCTTGCACGAGTGCCAGTTGGTTTGTGCGACTCTAGGGCCACTCACGTGTTAATAAAAATGCTTGTTATAAATTGAGTGCTTGACTTAAGTGCGCTGAAATTTTACCAGCTTCCTTGTGGACACCCCAGAATCAATTAAAAAAACATAGCTTATGTGCAAGAATTGATTGGCATGGTAGCTTTAGGTGGAGCTACTGTTAATCGTCATAACTGTAGGTAAAAAAAAATTATTGTTTCTTCGCGTTGACTTGTGAAAGGACGCGAGCTTCACCGGCACGAGCTCGCGCTGCAAGTGTGGGGGCGGATCCAGGCACTCCTGGTGACCGTGTGCAGCTGGGGCCTTGGTCTGGTGGCTTGCGTACTTGTGGCCCTGACTTTGACTGTCACCGGCAGCACCATGTCCTGGTACAAACAGCCGGTCCTGGTGCTGGGGCTCTACTACAGCACCATGATCGCCACCCTCATGGCCTGCCATTGGGGCCTCACAATGCTACGTCGCAGGCGCCTCAAGTCATCCACCACGGTCAGTAGGATTTGATTAACCTTTTGACAAGATATGTACACAAATGTGTATAGTCGCAACATAAAAATAGTAGCACAACTGAATGGTCACTGGAGCTGCTAAATTGCGAAACACTGTGCTGTTGTTCACAAGCAAGCTGGTAGTGAGATTGCCAAGCACATTCCATTTCCTAAAACAAGGGTGGCTGGCGGACAGTAGCCTATCTGCCTGTTGGTCCCTATTGGTCCTTTCACCGCCCCCAGCCCCTCCACTTTGCTCATATCCATATCCCCTTCAGGCGTGAATTATGATGCACTGTCTACAAATGTGTCCAATTCAGTACGATAATTCTGAGGCACTCAGTATGACAACCAAAGAAAGAAAATTAAGCAATGCGTTGTTGTTTTTTGGGGTTTTAGTAATTCACTGTGATGAGCGTTAATCACTTTATTACTCTGCAGTCGGTCATGTCCCATTTTGCGATGAAAAAAAAAAATGTAATCATGGGCTCCAAATATATGTGCAGTTCATTTTTAATTGCATTCATTTCGAAAAAAAAAAAGAAAAAGAATAGCTGACGTTGGCTTTAGAACACAGCACGTCGAACGACCCATCGAACATTGTAATGCATTCACCAAAGTGATTGGTCACAGCCACACGCAGCTCGCCGAGGTCAAGTCAAGACATGTTGACTATGCAATAGGCTTGACTTGTCTAAAGAGTAATGTATCTTTGCTCTCCTTTGGCCACAAGCAGGCACATCTTGAATAAACAAGTTGCATACACAAACATAGCCACCACTGCTGAAGGCAATATAGCTTAACTATTTAGAAAATAACTTTTAAGGTTTGTGCCAATATTTGAATATTAAAACAAATATTAACACATACCAATTCTCTTTGATTCTAATTAAATTATTGAAAAATGTTTAAGTATTTGAGATGACCGAATAGGTGCATATTTGTCCTTATGTATCAGCCCTGTAAAGGCAGTTCCACTGCACTAGAGAAATGCTATACCGTGAATACACATGTCCAGAGAAAATCCGCACTGCCACAAAGCCTTACTTCAAGTTTGAATGGACGGACAGTCGAACCCACTTATACTAATACTCATGAGCCACGAGAATTCGAAAGTTATAACTAATCATTACAATAAGTGGGTTCCACAGAAAGAAAGCAAAATAGTGAAACAGCTGCCTATAGTAAGAAAACTATATTATGGAATGGAATATACCAACAGACAGTGATAAGGACGACAAAGCTGCAAATATTTCAGATATGCTTATGCTTGAAAATTTGGACACTTGCATGAGACCACCACAAGCCCCATAGAGCTAATGTGTGAAATCTGAATTTTGAATGCCTGCAACACCTCCAGGTCTCAAGTTTTACTCGAATTGCGTGTCTGAAAGTTCATTTTGAAATTTCGGACGCCTGCAAACCCTCCAACTCTCAATTTTTACTCAAATGGTGTGTCTGAAGGTGAATTGATAGAAGCCACCGCCACTCCCCCACGTTGCAGATTTTAAAAGCGAGCTTTGCTACTGTAGCACAATGCTGCACAGCGTACTGTGAATCAGAAGGGACACTCGGAGACAATGGGGTTGTAGGAGTAGCTTTTGCACCTTGGAATTTTTCGTTTTCTTCTTTCTTTTCAAGGATTTTTCATTCTATTACTTTTCAGAATGGACACCCAAACTGCCTAAATTCATTGTTATAGGTGATAATCCAGCATGCAGGCATTGATTTATGTGGGCTATTTCACCATAGAAACATACAACAGTTGAAGGTGCAGCAGCTTAAACCAGTATATTGTAAAAACTGGTATTTTTATAAGTGGGTTTGACTGTATTACCCTCACACTGATTCTTCCTTTATTAAGTTTAAAAGCTTTGTATGCCAGGTGATAAGCTCCAAGTATAATAAATTTTAAAATATCACATATTTTACAGGTCATCACTTGCATTCTACGAGAGGTCAAATCATGCTACTATTACAAGTTGCTTCAGCTTCCTTTGAACCAAAAAAGAGTAACATTTGCTCATGCCTTGTTTCTATTTTTAAAACTGGATTGTTACAAGTATGCTTGTTTTTCTTAATATGATATAACTACTATTCAAATTCTTTAGAAGTTATTCACCTGATTCCTGTTAACTAGCACAGAAGTGGTTTCTGTGGATTCTGCTTGCACACTGTGGAATGACGTCCGTTCATTCTAGCACCCACCCACTAAGTGAATTTTATAGTCCCTCTCGAATTCACATTAAGCTTTTACTGTACTGACTGTTTAAAGGGACACTAAAGGCAAATATTAAATCAACACTGATTGTTGAAACAGTTGTCCACAAACCTCGTAGCACTACTTTTGTGCCAAGGAAGTGCTTTATATTAAATAAAATCACGTTTTCGTGGTCCGTGTGGCATTAGCGCATTTCAAATCACCCGCCTGAAAGTTGTCCTTCTCATGTCCCTGTTGCCGCGCCCAACGTTGCCCACCTTTACTGCGCGACCAACGACAATGCAGCAGCAGAGCGAAAGTAGTGAGAGCCACAGCAGCAATAACGACCATTGAACAATTTTCTGCTTGCTTGGTTCAACTGGGCCCCACTAGATTGCACCACTTATCCAGCCATACCAGGCGAAAACAGAATTTTGGAACCACTTGTGCCATTACTCATAGTGATAAATCAAAAAGAAACAAACAAGCAGCCTTTTATTAGGTATTGTAATGCACGGAAAAATCTTTATTTATTACAGCTGGTTTAATTACAGTGATTAATTCTACTTAGACGCTCTCACGTCATTCGAATCATTTAAAAATGTGCCAATCGTGGCACATGCGATGTGAAACATTTACCTTAATTTCATGATTAGTAGAGCACTGCTGTTTATATTATTAACATTTTAGACATTCTAAAACATTGATCTTTCACTCTGATGTAAATTTTATTTGCCTTTAGTGTCCATTTAGATGACAGAGTGCATTCATATGAAATTTATGGTTCAGGTACAATGGTTTTAACATGTGTAGCTCAGATAGGAACCGGTCTCAAAACTTTTAAAATTCATAAATTCCTTCCTGCGCTGTTCAGAGCAATGACGTAAAAAATAGTGCATTTCAGTGCACATAAAAAGTATCGCTGTAAGCATTGCATTGCCTTCCAAATGTCTCAATTGAACAGAATTGTCATGGAAGAGTTAGTCGCACACAGTGAGTAGCAGCCTTTCTAGTAGACATAGTGCTGCTGAGCTGAAGTCCCTGTCCGCCCACATTCTAATGCAATAGTGTTAAAGAGCTCGTTTTGCAAAAAATTGATGAACATTAAATAAAAGAAATAATATAAGCTTTCCGTTTGAAGTGAGAAATGAACCCAGCAGGTGCTCTACCACAGAGCCATGTCATTGGCTGAAACTGCTAAGGCAAAAGACACTGTGAATCTTATTCAGCAAAAGGATTCTCTTTAACGCATCAAACATTGTGTGGCAGTACCGTAGAATCCCACCAGGCATCAAAACAAACTGTGGACAGTACTGTGGCAGATGCAATCATAAATAGCATACAACAACTTAGTTTTGAAGGTGCGTGCGCAGTTAGCACACGCGGGTTGAAAACGGAACTACCGTTTGACGCAATCGCCACTCACAAAACCGCTGTCGCAAGGATGCGATAGGGATCTACAAGCTCCGAAAACATGCGGCTAACACAGCAGTAGATTAAAGGCAGTTAAGACGTAAAAAAGGCTAGAAGCATTTTGACGTTCCTATCAAAAGAATATAGTAGCAAGCAAAGCTTTGACCCGCGCTTTAGTGGCAGCCAGCTGCGGTGTTTAGTCTGTTCAGGTGTGTCCCAGGAAGGCATATGCGAGTTGTTTTGAGGGAAATAAACTTTGCTAGTTGTTTGGTGGCATGAATTTTCGGGAGTGTTCGCGCTCCCACTCGCCTTACTGGAAACTCTCACCTTACTTGGAAACCATACCGTCGTGTCTTCAGCCACTCCAAGCCATTATAAGACCACAACGCCTACATTTGCGATTGCACCCCCGCCTGTTGTTTTTGGCTATGTTTTTTTTTTCTTTTGGTGCCGACACCCTCCCCCCCTCGCCATTACGGAAATATCCCAGATTCGGAATTCTTGAGCTTAGCAGGTATGCAACACACGAACAAGCCCCACCGCGGTGGTCTAGTGGCTAAGGTGCTCGGCTGTTGACCCGCAGGTTGCGGAATCAAATCCCGGCTGCAGCGTCTGCATTTCCGATGGGGACGGATATGGTGTAGGCCCGTGTGCTCAGATTTGGGTGCACATTAAATAACTCCAGGTGGTCGAAATTTCCGGAGCCCTCCACTACGACGTCTCTCATAATCACATGGTGGTTTTGGGATGTTAAACCCCACATATAAAATAACAAACGAACAAGACCTAAATAAAAGTTGATTTGTATAATATATGCAGCCTTACGTCTTTATAATGATGTAATGGGCTAACTTTTTACAGGTGAGTTACGGTTTACCGAGGATCTCCCCATCTTAAACTTCGCCCACTTATCATTCGTTCTATACATATGGCATGATTTTTCTTTGTTAGCTGTGGCCTGTATTACTCACTTTTGTTACAAATCAAATAATAATAGTCGCATGTGCATTTTACTTTTGCAGACTGTTTTTACAAGATTATTGCTGTTGTCAAGTTATTGTTCAGCACAAAAACACTTGCAATACCTATAGTTTATTGTTATTGCTCATTCTTCGGAAAAAAACTTGGCCTAAGCGGATTACACGCTTAATGAAAGTATCATTGAAAATAATCAGTTGCACATGAGCACCAGCAGTTTCCTACATTGTATGGTGGTGCATTTGCAAGTAGAAGGACAACTTGAACCATGATTTTGATTCAGTGACCAATCAATAATGGCATTCACCATTATCATGGTGATTAAAATATTTCTTGCCTTTTCAAGCATACATTCACTGCATGATGAGTAAACTTTTTTGACTCATGCTCTTGTGTGTTGCGGGCCTTCCCCATAACAAAGATATATTAATATACTAAATGAAAGAAGGACATATAGGGCTTGTTTTATTCTTTATTAAGCACGGCATTAGAACTAACAAACAAGAAAGCCAAGCAAAAAGTATAAAGGATGTTATTTGTTACAACTGCAATGTGAATGGGAAGAAAGAAAAGTGCACAAAAAGATACTTTGCCGCTAGCAAATACTGAAACTGCGATCTTCAAATGATGCGTCCGATGCTCTACCAAATGAGCTACAGTGGTGATCACTTCCCCTCCTTTATGGGATCAATATGTAAACTGAAACGTGGGAGTATCAGTGACGCCAGTAGCCACTACGAGTGTGGAACACTTTTTCTGCCTGCTGGTGTCATGTAGTACTTAATCAAATTACAAGCTGGCAGCTGACCAATAATCTCTCGCTTACCACATTAAGGTCTGCCAGGACGAGACCCTCGCTATGCATGAAGGAAAGAAGGAGAATTTTGAGGGCTCATTTCTTTTTGTTGAGCCCAACATGAATTATAAATAAAAACAAGAAAGCCAAGAAAAGACGTTCTCATCATAAGTGCTACAAATGGCATCCCCCCATACTTTCTCTGGATTTGTCTGTTAGTTATAAGTGATATACCAAGTGTACCATAAAAGAGTTCTCAATGCATCTGCAGGGACTAAAAGTTCTGGGTGAAAGTGAGGAGTGTGATGACTGGAACGTCCTGGAGCGATACATGGATGCCACTCAGTTGCTGTGGCTGACACTGGTGTTCTGGCTGTCATCCAAGAACATACTGAGTTATTACATCCCAAACCTTTGGGCCGTCTTCACTGGCACTGTTGTGTCTGTGCTTTCCCACTGGACATTGGGCATGGGCCGCAAAGGTAAGTCCAGTCAATATTTATTCCAGAATTTCAGCATAAAGACAAATTCCAGAACCAAAAAAGATAAAATTAATCCTTTCACAATCACTAATGAGAATAGTCGTCATAAGATTTACCCAACAAAATGAGCAGGGATGACCACACGAAACTGATAAAGACTACACTCTGGCCTCCGGGATGGCAGGCTGGCAGGTTTTTCTCTGGCCATCCCAATCGCCGTGCTCCTCAGCAAATAAAGTATACGGCACCTCGCGCGCCCGGCTACCACGAGAGGGCACATTATATGTGAATTCTGGCGGCAGCAGAGACCGCAAAAGAAAGTTGGGCACACGCCATACTAACATGCACAACAGTATTTTTTCGTGTGGAAGGAATCATCAGCACCTGGATCTTCTTAATGCACTGTAGACACGTGTTATTTTCTGTTCATGCATTTATTTTGGCCCAATCCACAAAGAAAAGCACAGCAACTGCTTCGTTCTCCTGATGTAAACCACTATAAGGGTGCAACAGTTTTTCTTTGGTAGTATTACTTTGTTTTGTTTCTTTTTTTCCTTACTGTCCGTTTCCCCTTGGTGCAAAATACCTCTATTTGAGAGATGTAAGGGTGTTTTAGCATTGTTCCCTTTTTGAAACATGTATGGATAGAAAACTGGACTAATTTCAGATGGTGAATCATACTGTCCTCCCATCATGACACATTGTTTTACTATTTATCACGTACAGATAGGTATAAGGCGATCAACCCAAGCATGGTTTAGCTCTACAGAAAAATGTTCAAGATAACTCAGCTCCCCGTTCATGTCGCTGAACTAGCACGTCATCCAAAAGTGCCCAAGTTGTCATCTACTTTTTCATTTTGATTTTGCTCCTTTTGGTGGCACAACAACAATATTGTTACTGTTAAAAATTTGATCACAATGTTGAAAAATGGGCAAGCATGGATGATTGAAGTATATCTCAAAGATGTGTTTCGAAACAGCACACCAAAGTATTTTTTCTTATTCACCTCTGCTTGCGACAATACAATCTACGTTTACTGTAGTCTTGACCTCTCGACTGCATCCAAAGGGTCGCACGTGCAACAGTAAGGTTTACTACTTCCGAAGGAAAACAAAGTATTCATCTAAGAAGACAACTGCAAAAAGCAAGAGCGTGCCTTGTGGCTGCTATTCAATGACCAGTGTTTATCAGGAACACTAAACTTTGAACGCATATTGCACTTTTTCTGAAAAAGCTTAAGATTGCGATGTTCGTTTTTACAATGCTACACGTATCTATTAAACAACGAAAAAGTTACAATGCAAATGGGCAGCTATAAGAAAATAAAATATGCCTGCAACCTGTCTGGAGCCATCGCAGTATTGGCGACCACCTCCACCCTCCTCCCTGGCTCCTGCTTCAGTGAAACAGGAGGTAGTTGGAAAGGGAAACTAGAGAAGCCTCACGGGCGAGTGCAAAATCTTGCACCCTATGGGAGCGCAGCTTTCATAGCAGACCCGGCGCCAGCGAGCTCACAAGCGGAAAGCATGCCAAGTGCTGGTGCCAAGTGCAGAGTTTGGTAGGCTCAGTTAGTGTACCTCTCCAGCCTTAGCTCGGCCTCACTTCTTTGTAACATGCTCACGCTGCTGCGTGGGCGCAGATGCTTCATGTGGATGCATCGCTGATATTGTGCAAAAAGGAGAGCAAATTCTTCGTGCAAGGCTCCCAGTCTGTGCTTTCAACGTGTGCTCTGCCCTCTCGCAGGCAATAAGAAGGCCCTGATGGTCGCCATTTTGAGTGCCGTGTTCCTACCATTGCTGCTCACTGTCTACCTGTGCTTCAACATTCACATGGGCATTATGCCCATCATGGGCCGCAACGGCACTCTGGAGAACCCAGAGATTGCAGTGGCCATCATGTCCGGGGTGCTTGCCATTGCCTGCACATCATTCGTGGTGAGCATTTACACAGCCCTCCCCTCCTCTGAACCCTTGCAGTGAAGGTTCCAGAGCACCATTTCAATGCTTCAGTGTACATTACAGTGTCAGATCACGAGTACGTGCTTTACTTCAACAACTAAACAGAACTTTTGTGGCCTTACACACTGCTCCTAAAAATTGTTCTTCATTGCTCGATCAACCTTGATAAAACTTGGCAACTTTATGTATGTTGGTGTGTCGACTTCAAATATGCAATAAAGTTTATTGCGATAGAAATTGTATGAACACTCTCGGCTGGATCTTGCCGTCGGTGTCGATGTTGGCGTCACTCACCGTATATGTATCTACATATATATATATATATATATATATATATATATATATATATATGAAAATGCAAGGAAGAAAAGAAACCCTGAAAAATACTCCGGCGCGCGGAATCGAACTTGGGTCTTCTCAATCGTGAGTGCAAGGCGTTAACCACTGCGCCACCGACAAGCATGTCCTTCGCAGTCAAGCTATTTATATTTACCACTGACCGCTGCTGACAGGCATTTCGGGGGGAATTATTGTGTTTTCAGCATTACCAGCAAGATTACATAATATGCGTGCGTCTCCACATCGCGCGGCAGTGCACGCTTTGATCTCCCACGCGTACTTTGCCCCATTTATAGGAGGGGAGCGGCGCTCCCTTGGCTGGCCTCGTCTTGGCTGGCCTCGGGCTTTACTTGGAATGATTTTGTTGTAGTTACCGAGCGCACTAAGGTTACTGCAATCATTGCAGTCTCCGTTTGCGAAAAGCGCGTGCTTTTCAGGCACAGCGAATTTTCACTGATTCTCGAGCTGCTGCACGAGCGTTCATGACCGGGTCAGTCTGTGAGCAGGCGGCCCATCTTCTTACCAAAAGACCACATTGCACGGAAATCGACGGCCACATCACCTGGTTTCCTGCCCACATGGGCAAGGATGTCCACCCTGTTATCCCCAATGCCAATGAGCTTGCCCATGCCCGAGCACGCGAACTGTCCCACCGTGACGGGCAATCGGCATCTAATTTTGGGGATGGCATCCGGCAGCTTGATTTGCTCCTCACCTTTAACGAAATTTGCAAAAATTATCAATTGGCCAGGCGTAGCTTTCCGCTCCCGCACCCGCAAATCTCTAGGGCCCAGTCAGTCACTTTAAGAATGCTGCAAACGGGTACTTACCCGTCGCCTTTAGTGTACAGCAAGTTTATCGACAGCATAAAGCCGCAATGCCCTCATTGCGAAGAGAGACGTTGCACGTTACCCCACATGCTCTGGCAATGCGCGGCGCTGCGCGATGACGAGCCTCTCAGCACAGAAGCTGCCTGGAGGACGGCAATTACCAGCTCGGACCGAGAGGTCCAAATCCGGGCTGTCCAGAGGGCCCGCAATTTGGCGGAGGGGCTCGCTCTTCCTGTCCCCACGTGGGTGCGGCCCGCAGCCGACCCTCCCTCTTGAGGGGAATCGGCTCCTCAGGACAATTTGTAAATAAAGTTCATTGACTGACTGACTGACTTAGTTCGTCCATCAGAGCAGACACTTCCTGCGGTGGTACCACTTCTGGCACTTGTTGTGCCAAATTCCTGAGTGCCACAATGGCGCTCTCCTCCTTGACAGCACTTGGATGAATGCTCTTGAGATCTTTAAGCACCTGATTGCCAAAGGGCAGCCTTGAAAGCAGATACTTCGCAACGTGAATGTAAAAGCTACGTGCACCTATTCTAAACATCTTTTTCTCTTCAGGCGTGAAAGAATTAATGGAATTTTCAATGTCTCCACCAATTTCAACTACCTGTTTCCAATTCGCAGAGCACTCTAAATTAAGGGATTGAAGTTCCACTCCTGTGAAGTCCCTGTATGCACCGATCAGTAGGAAACGTCCCAGAATTCTTTTCACAAGCTTCACCATTTCTTAATACAATATATGGAGGAGTGGCTCCCGTCGTTGAAGTAACGTCAAGAACTCAACAAACACATCTGCGACATTTCGAAGAAAGATTGCCTTGGGAAGTAGATCCCTTTTCATTAGATTTTCCTTCAGATGCCTATAAATATTGCCACCCGCTCGACTTTTTTGTTGGGCACCCAGAACTGTTTCCTTGACAGCTTCATGTTGCTGGACAAATCGATCCAAAGCTGAACTCAGCGTCAGCCATCGCGAGCTCACATGCCTGCCGCAAAAGGACATTTTCCGGCAAGCCTAGGAATCTCTGTGTTGCCTTCAGCGTAGCACTTTGTACGGCTGAATTTTTGAAAAAGTGATATATGTCAAGCAACGTTGTTTCTACAGTATCACCAAATGCTTCGAGACCTTTTGCAAATGCATTATGCACCTTGTGCAAACTATATTCACCAATGTCCAGCAAAGCTGGATTCACGTCTTCTTTCAAACGTTTTTTCAAACTTCGCATGACGTTGGGCCCGTCACTGTAAAAGCAGAGCATGTTCCTTGCAGGCAAATCTTGCAGGGCTTCTTTGACATGTGCCAGCAAGATTTCTGTTGTTGCAGAGCCTAAGTGATAAGAGCGCAAATGCTCAACAACAACACGCTTCTGTGTATCAGAAAAATATCTGGCCATCACGTCCAGCTGTTGGCAGCGTTGCTCTGGGAGCGGTGTTTCGACGATCTGAATTGTGTAATATGTGTGTGGCCTGTTCAGTTCATCTGTGACTGCCTTCTTAAAATATGGAGCTAGGCCATCTGAAATTATGTATGATAGCTTCTTCCTACCACACTGGAACTCCTTGGCTATTTTAGAGTCTGGAAACATCAATGGCATCATCTTCGTTGCTGCATCCACGTATATATAAGGGATCCCAGACAACGCCACTCCAAGCGCAAAATAAGTATCTGCTCGAGCAGCACGGTCTGCCTCCGAAAGTCCTGACCCAGTTGCAAAGCATGATTCCAGCTGAACTTGCTTAGTAGCAGGCTTCTTTAGAACACCAGAAGCATCTCTATGTTGAGTGCACAACTCAACATAACTCTTATTGGCAGCATGACGCTTGACAGCCGCTACACCATGCTGTGCACAGTTTATGATAGTGTTGCAGATGGTGCAGAACGCTTCCTCTTGTTTTATGCCTTGTCTGCACCAAGCAGAGATGATGTCACCGTTGGAATCAATCTCATTGAGCACATGGTTATTAAACTTGCTTTGACGACCTGAAAGAAAATGTTGCCCTGATCACACAAACTTCTGATAATACAACTTAAACACAAACTTGGATATCTATTTTTGCAAATGCACGGTAAATTGAGCAAGAGAAAATAGTGTCTGAAATTTCGAGGCAAAACTATTACCAGCATTGTAAGAATCGCCTTCGCGATGCCGTTCTACAGAATTAAAATGAACTCCAAACAACGGCAAAATTGCCGCGTCAAAGGCGCCTCTCCGCGAACGGAAAGTCGGGCATGTTGCGCCTGATTACGTCCCACTACCCTCAGACGCTCGCGCTCAGTCCTGCCTGGTACAAATGCGCGCGATTGCTTACATATTAGGAGGCGCAATTCCGACCGACATCAAACCCCGCTGCGTTCTCGTTTGGCTTCTCCGTGCACACCGCTCCGCCGCAACCGATGTACTTTAAAGGTTAATTGCCCACTCGGATATTCGACTGAATTCAAGCTCTGGTGTTCCCTGCTTGGTGATGCGCTACCACACTACAGCACAAAGAATAATTGGAATAGGTATCGCAAGGCGTGGTAATATCATTATACAATGCTATGATTATATAAAAATCCACGGCGACAGGCGCGCTGTTAATTTTCACAACCGCGTTTCATATGCTACGGACCAATTTTAAAAAATCCAAAATTCGATATATTATGAGTTCAGTCAGTACAGATAAGCGCGATATGGCCCAGATCAAGGTTACACGATATTAACTTCATGCGCACATCAATACATAACACGTGGCTGCTGATGCCGCACGGTCACTGCGTACGAACTACTGCCGCTACTGCGCTGAACCGTGCTGCGTGGAGACAGTTACAAATCGCAAACAAACAATGTAAAATAATGAGCTGTGATCCCGCAATACAAGTCTCCACGAATAACTTGCTAATAAATGCACCTATTGGCACTCGTGCCTTTTATATTTTTGTTCACGTCAGTTCAGAGCTAATAATGTGCGATATAAAAATAGGACTTATGTCGAACAAAGAAAAGACGAGCCCCTCGATAATTCCGGTACTTTTAGGGGCTACTGGTGTCACAGCAGGGGACATCCAAAGCAAATGCGCCCAAAAACAGCATGAAATGTGCGTCAAAAACGCGACAATAAACAGTAGGTTTAACAGCACAATAACATCAAGGGTTTTACAAAGAATAACAATCGGAGGCTCGAACACTTCAACTTTAACTTTTCAAGCATTATATTCACATCAGCCAACACAAAACAGGCGTCAACGACACATGTCACAGGCTTACCTTTCCTCGTAAAAGCCATTTCGTTGCCTGCCGGAACGGCCAATGCGCCCAGCACGTGTGACTGGTGCGACGTTCTCTGGCCACTAGCCAACGTTTCGCACACGGCTAGCAGTGGCTGAAGATAGGCTTGGCTTGGCTGCTTTTTCGGCACTGTTTCGGTTTCGGAACCATTGGCCGTGGAGGCGAGCGTCACAAAACGTTGGCCTCGGCGCAGGCATGGCGCAATATACGCGAAAAACAGCCATTTGGCGCAGCATGTAGCAGCATTTCTGTCTTGGCGCAGTTTGGCACAATTGGCGCAGCACTTCCATCACTGGGATGCCAAGAATTGGTGGCATTAGCATGGCATCATTGAAGAGCTAAGCACACTTTCAAGATGCATCTGGCAACACCTGGGTGAACACCTGCCTGTCAGAATGATGTCAAAAGTACCAGCAGGCTGCCAAAGTTTGAAAAAAATGATGAATTGTTTGCGTGTGCAGTATTCACGGTTTCAAACATAAAACCAGGTCTTTAAGTATAACAACTGATATGCACGATTGCGCGACATAGCCACACCATGTTGGAACTAATCTGGTCTCTAAAGATATTGTTGGCTCGGATTGAGTATAAATGTTCCTATACGAGGTCTGTTAGAAAATTATTCAACCTTTTTTGGGGGGTGGGAAGCACATGATAAAATAAACAAGCGTGCTTGCATCAGCTGACCTTGAACCTTCGTGCGCATGCCTGCATTTTTCTCCCGCCTACCAATAGTGTCAGTCGCATTTGGGTGAGGTAGTGCGCAGTGCTCTCGTCAGTTTTTCATTGCAAGGAAAAATGATGGAGCAACTTGAGCAGTGCTACTGCACCCTCTGCCTGGTTGCCCGTGGTGCATGCCTGAACGAGCGGATATGGCACATATACTTTGGCAATGCACAAGAAGCTAAGATAGGCCACGAGAAGGAACGTCGCCAACTGAAAGACCCTCCGAAATGGGGCACCTTGCTGAGCGATGGCAAGCCGCCCTTCTTAGTGAGGCCCTCGAAGACCAGGAGCGGACTGTCAAGCGGGCCAGGGCTGTCACCGAGGGCCTCGAAAGATGTTCCTCAAACTAAGTATCCCTGGTAGCCTAGCCCCGGCCACAGCAACAACCGTTGGACAAATAAAGTTTATTCAACTCAACTCATATGTCTCGGGAAGATATGTTTCGGAAAGATATTTTTGCCAGTTTGAAAAGTACTCAAGCACGCATTGCAACATACCAAATTTTGCACAATGAAAAGCTCTTTTAAAAAATATGTGTTGTAGAGTAACAAAAATAGTTGTAGAGCAATCAAAATATTTTGGAATGAATAAAAATGCAAAAAGTGTGTAATTTTTGGTTGCCAGCTGGTAAGGAGTACAATAAAAGACACAATCACTATATATACAAAAATATTCAAAACTAAGAAAATTCAAAATACACATAGATATGGATGATAAATGATCAGGAACAATATAAAAAGAATAAATGTTCTGCAAATTGTTTCTATTCACATAGACAAAGAAAATCGGAGACAAGGTGCTGTTTCGTTGCTCGTGCGATGCAGCGAAAAATAGCTTTGTTTCTCGTGAGACCCAAGTGAACTCGTACACTTTTTCTCAGTAAATCTTTCTCTTTTTTTTTTTTTTTGATAAGAGCCTGCAGATGTTCCAGTATGATGGATGCTCGTGGTGTGAATAATCCCTTTATAAATCAGATGTACAATAAAGTTCACTATTTCGTTTACCATCACATCTCTTCATGAGCCACCTTACTTCCGCATAGGTCGGCATTCTAATATATGCATCCAAGCATATCTCTTGGCATTTGGCACATCGTATCAAAAAAAAAAGAACAATATCACGCACAGTTCAAAACGTCTCACGCTGCTCCGTAGCTAGGGCCAAGATGTGCTTTGGTGGCCTTCTTGTCATGAGGAGAAGCTCTGCAGCCGGCACCAGCACAATGCGCCTCAGCCAAGTGTGGAGCTTGTATGTAACCAGAGTAGCTACAAGATTGTGCTTGTAGCTACACACGTGTGGCAGAGATCACAACTTGAGGCCGTAAACAAAACAAACCCACGAATGGCTGCGGATGTCTCAGGCCCGACGCAAAACATCGTGGCCATAAAACTGTGGTCATCCTCGAACTCTAAGCTCATCCGCTTAATTCAGGTAGTGTTGCAAGACAATTTTGAGCCATCAGTATGTTTTGCAGCACTGATGTGCTAAAATGTGCGTATGACAATACCGTAGAAGCGACTAGTGACGATATATGCGACCTTGTCTCTGATTTAACGGTACGAAAAAAAAAACGAAAGCTGCTAGAAACTGGCTGAGAAGGCCACCTCGACCCTTCAAACATGCGGCGAACCTTCGGAAATAATTGTAGAATAAATTTTTTCTCACTTCTAGCAACAGCTCTTTGTTGAATAGCTGGCATAAATTTCTGGCGATTATTACTGCTCAACACTGTCCAGTTGCAAAGCTGACACTTTAATTCAATATTTGGCTTGTAAGGGTTCTTTTCATTACAGAACTTCAGTGTTAGTGTAACATAATAAAGAGGGACACGCACTTTTGTCAAGTTCGCCAGCCTAAAGCATTTTTCCAATAACGCATGCACATTGGTTCGTGCAAAGGTCTGTTAAAAATCACCATGTTGCCAAAACAGGCAAATTCAAATTGATTCTGAAAGTTGAGTTGCTGGAGTGACTACTAGAAAGCACTCGGTGCACGAGAAACAAATTTAACATTTTTCATTTCATTCCATTCAAAAATTGGTGATCCAAAGCATCTATCACTGGTGATCGATTTGAATAGGCGTGGTAACAAAAGAAAAACTGAAGCACTTTTCAAGAAAAATAATTTTGGAGCATATAAAGACAGTTTGATCCCTGCTTAATTTAAAAAGTAATAAAAGTTTTCAAAAGTGAATGCCAATGGCACATATTGGAGAAAAAAATGGAAGCTGTGCCTGCAGGGCTTTTTGAAATGCAGTGACGTCATCCCCATGCACATTATCTGTAACAGCAGCACTGCTGAAATGCGGCCTCCTCGATTAATTTCGGCAACAGCATGAGTTAGTCATGAAGGCCATGACTGAAGCTACGAGAGACGCTTGTGGACGCAGCGCATGGCCGTTTGTTGTTATTCCAGATATCATAATCCAGCAACAGAACTTTCCGCTTTACTATCCTGCGAGAGCCCTAAACAGCACCTTCACAGTTCGGCTCATTCAGTGGCAGGAACCTTCCAGCAGAATGCAGCACAACTCCACCATAGGAACTGGAGATCACATATATTTCCATGCCCGCACTTTCGGTGCGCTCACGTGGGTGGAGAAAGACAAACTTTTCTTTCATGTATTCTAAAGCTGCTGCTGGAACAACCGCAAAAAAAATTCCTACATCGTTGACAATAATGTTGTTTCTTGCTCATTCTAAAACCTCTTCACCTTCCATATAAGGCTTCACAGATCCAAGTCTTGCATTCCCTTTGTAGCGCAGCACCAGTAAGGCAATCATTTAGGTGATGACTCCTGGATTTGAACTGGTTAATATTGCAAGAAACTTTATTTCTCCTGTGTTTTGCCTCAGGTGCCGCTGACACATGTGTCACGTGATGGATGGAAGCCCGTAGCCGTGCTCTCTGGGCTTGTTGTACTGAGCATGCTGATTGCCATGAGCCCATTTGGGTTCCCGTTCTCTGCTACTCCGGGAGATGTGGCTCCACAGCGAATGCTGCTTTTTGTGAGTTTCAATTATCGCCTCTGTTGGCATTCCCAGTCATATGCTCACATGCGATATAAGCTCATAAAAAAATGTTTACTTACCAACGTTTTGATCATAGAGACCGGTCTTTATCAGGCATCGGTTTGATCAAGATCGATTTATAAAGAAAATAGTTCTTTAAGAGAGTAGATTTTTTTTTCCTTCACAGACGGATGCACGCCATGCCATGCCACAGTGCACTACACCACTGTATATCGCTGAATACGACAATTGCTGTGTTTGTTTTCTGACATGCCTTTATAAAAAGCACATCACTAAAATAAGATATCTTACAATTTTGCATTTGTCTTTTTCAAGGTAAAGCTCAGTTTGATCAAGACTGGTCTCTGATAAAAACATTACAGACTGGTCTCTGATAAAAACATTACAAGTAAACAGTTTTTAAGAAGCGATCTTTTTCTCACACATACACACACGCATGTACACACACATCTCACACAATCACACCACCTCTCTGTAGACTGCTGAATAGGACAATTACTGAGTCTCCGTTTTTGCCCTCCCTACCGCGGTGGTCGAAGGACTAAAGTACTTGGCTGCTGACCCACAGGTCGCGGAATCGAATCTCGGCTGTGGCGCCTGCATTTCCGATGGAGGCGGAAATGTTGTAGACCCGTGTGCTCATATTTGGGCGCACGTTAAAAAAACCCAGGCGGTCGAAATTTCTTAGAGCCCTTCACTACGGCGTCTGTCATAATCATATGGTGGTTTAGGGATGTTAAACCCCACATATCAATCAATCAATCAAATCCATTTTTGCCCATGCTATATCACAAGCGCATCACTAAAGCAAAATACCTTATGTTTTTGCAGCTGTCTCACATATGCAGTAGTGCATCAGTCTTGTATGTGGTTTGTTCAGTGAAAGGATTGATTTACTGTGTAATGTTTGTTTCAGAATGTGGAGCGAAAGTTTTACGACAAACACCAGAGTATGGTTAAACAAGATGCAGGAGTGTGGGCTGTCCCGCTTGACTTCAATGGTCCACGCACTATTTGGCAGCATATAGGAACAAAGCACCACATAAAAAAAGTGGACTGCAGCGAGCATGTCTACTGTGGCATGCCATATTACTTTCCGGTCATCTCAAAGCTCAAGTGAGTGCGCCCTGTGGGGTTGATTGTTCCCTACTTTGTCAATTGGACTTGCATATAATGAGAAAAAACTTGAACCATGCCTAAGCTTTGTTTTGAAGAGCTAGAACGCGACAGCGTACTCAGACCATGTTCTTATTTCCTTCCCGATTGCTAGCCTAGCTTCGCTTTTCGATCGACACCTAAACCGTGCTGCAAAAAAAGCCGAAGTGCAGACATATGCCACTTTCTATATCCATTGCATGTGGCGCGAAGTAGCATGAAAAGCATGCTCGTGGGCTCTTTGCACCATCTCATGGTCTTTTTGTCAAGTCGCAGAATAACCTTCACAATGCGCACACCACCAATGCCAAATGGTATGCTACAGTATATCCCCTTCAGGCACAAATTATGATGCACTGTCTACATATGTGTCAAACTGGCATTGCAAGAAGGGGAAGATGGAAGCTTGCAATCATGAATTCATAAACATGGGTTAATAGCACATTAATAGCTCAATCTATAGCTTGTTATTATGCAATCACTCATGTTACATTTTGACATAGAATGAAATTATATGCTGTAAATGTGTAACCAATTAATTCTTTGTTCCATTCATGTGAAGGAAGAAGAAAGTAATAACTACGATGTTGGCTCTGAAAGGTGGCATGTCAAATGACCCGACGAACATTGCATTGCCTTCACTAAAGTGATTGGCTGCAGTTATATGCACCACAGGGAAGTCAGGTTAAAAAACATACTGAATATGCAAAAGGCTCAGATCGTAAAGTGTGCACATGTATCTTGCTCTTCTTTTTTTTTTTTTTGCCAACAATTTGATGCATAAACAAGTTACATGCACAAACGTAGCTACTGTCACTGAAGGGGATATAAATTACTTGCAGTTGATATGGTAGAAGATCTGTGCGTGGTAGCCGAGTGTCTAAATGCATCGTGCCATAGAGTGAGGGGTTACAAGTTCGAATCCCTAATTCCACTGGAAATGAAGATTTAATTTTATTTCTTTATCTACACTTACCTTGCTTTTCGCTCATGAACAACACTTATCCTTTTGTTCACAACCAAAGATGACGTCAACAATGAATTTCTGCGAAATGAGCTCTTGAATGCTATCATATCAAAAGTATGTTTGAACAGCTGTCACCGTTTACCTCTACCTCCACCCATATTAATGTTTTAGAGGTGGTTGTGGTGGTAGTATTAGTAATAGTAGTAGTAGTAATTTAAGGTATACAGGAAGTGTACTTTGTAATTCACTGTGATAAATTTTTCCACTTCAGCATTGCTGAACAGAAAACAAAGCTTACAACCACTGGCCCGTGTGTCCAAGAGTCACATAATTATTAGAGCACAACTGATGCCCTATTTCACATTATGTGCAGTTCTTCAGAGAACACTAGACACTGCAGACATATGATAAAAGAAGCTCCATTCCTACTATACTTGAAAAATTCTATTTTTCATTGTGTCAAAGGACGACCAGCGTTTTCTGTAGTGCTCTAGCAGCAGGGCACCTGACTGGTCTGGTTGGTGCATTGAGATGAAGGGACAAAAACGAACGTGACACCGACGAACACCTTTCTAAAGTTCACTTTCTTTCCCTTTCATTTGTGATGCTCTCCATGACCCAGTTCATGGCAGTCTCTTAGCGTTGTTGTAATGAAAGAAAGGGAGAAATAAAGAAATAAAAGAGAATGTTTTACTGCATGATGCTTACAATAATGACTTTTGGCATGCTGGTTGTTTGCTCTTCTTAATGATTCTTCGAATAATTTTTCTAGGGAGACGTACTATGCTGACTTTCCAGGTCCCATCTTTGACAAAGGCAGAACGTTTCGTCTCCTGTCTAGAAATGTTACTAAGGCCAGCACGATAAGGCTCGGCTTCGAACTTACAGGTAAGAGTAAGCATGGTGCTATCAAATGGCTTTTTAAGCATATGTTTGTTTCTTCATCATCACCAGTCTAAGGATGCCCACTGCAAGGAAACGGCCTCTCCCGTGTTCCACCAATCAACCCAGTCCTGTGCTTGCTGCTGCCACGTTGTAACGGCAAACTTCTTCATTTCACCTACCCGAACTTTTTTTTTGTCTCGCTCTCATGCATTTTATCCAGACGGTTACCCTTAATGACCAATGGCTATCCTGCCTACGCAGCGGTTATCTCTAATCCTCTTTGTTCCCTGACCAACTCTGCTCTTTTCCTGTCTCTTAAGGTTACACCTATCATTTTCCTTTCATCGCTCACTCCGTCGTTGTCAATTTGACTTGAACCCTTCTAGTAAGCCGTCAGCTTTGTTCTCTATAAGTTCCGGTAAAGTGCAGATCTTAGACCTTCCTCTTGAGAATCGTGTTAGACTACCAGTCATGATCTGAGAATGCTTTTTTCCTAATGTTCTTTATCCTATTCTTATTTTTCTAGTTATTTCACTCTCATGGTTTGGTTCTCCATTGTCTCACTACCTATGGAAAAGCGCTGTTCATTCTCGATACTGTTGCACATTGCTTAGTTTTATGTGTCCATTTGCGTCTATCTAATCACTCTCACATTATTACTTGGTACCTATATTTTCATACTCACTACAAACAACTAGGCTTGGGTGAATATTCAAACACTTTGAATATTTGAATGAATATTACAATATTCTGTGCAGTATTTATTCAAATTTCAATTATTGGAAATTTCAAAATATTCAAAATAAACTAACAGTCAACTTTACTAGAATAAACCCAGTTTGAAAGTTCCACCCGAGAGGCGGGCTGCGTGATGGTCACGAGAACTAGTGGCGCTGCAGTAAGATTTTGCTTTAGCCGCCCGGAGTTCCCGTGTTGTGATCGGCGGTGGCGACGTGCAAGCAGCTACCGCGAATGGTGCGCTGAATTTCCACGTCACTTCTCGGACTGTTTTTGGCACTGCATAGTTTCTTGTACAAAAATGCCTTTGTCGTGTATGAGGCGTAGCGAGGAGGAGCAGTTTTATCTACATTGAAGTCTAGCTTCAACAGCGGCGGCCGCAATGACGACTCGGCTTCACGCAACTTGTTCGTTCGTTAGTTTGTTTATTCATTATTTATTTTCTATGTAAACATGGTTATACAGTAGCATGGGCCAACATAAAAGCTGCTATACGCAGTTTAAGAACCTCATATATGTAGCCTCCGATCTCTTAAGCTCAGCGGTGATGGGCTAGCAGACGAATGATCGTAAGCAAATTTGCTGTCTAGCCCTGCACGTTACCCTAGAAAATTCATACTGTAGGGCAAATAAAAATTATAATTCTATTATTATTATTATTATTATTATTATTATTATTATTATTATTATTATTATTATTATTATTATTACATGTGGTAGCAATTGGCAGATATGGCAGAGGTGGCGTCGTTGAGTATTAGTATGTATATTGTGGGCAACAGTTACAAACACAACAATTACAAAACTTCGAGGATGCTTGAGTTTTGCCTTCAAGAGTAGAACGCAATAGCGTAACTGGGCCCTGTGCGAACGATTTTCTCAATTACTAGCCTAGCTTCGGTCTCGACATATGCCTCAACCGTGCTGTGATAAAACGAACAACTGTGCGTGCAACACTGGCCATTTCAAATTATTGTAGAATGTCTACTGCAAGTACAGTTGTGAAGTGCCCACAGCGCCATAATTGTTCCTTTCGGTAATTGGCAAAGGCGCTTTTACACGTGCATTAAGCAACACGCAAACATAAGTTTGAGCACCCTGTAATGGCTGGGCCTTTCTAACACCCACTCATTGCGCATTTCACATGTTTCGACGCCTGGCGCGATTTTACGCTTCTAACACTTAATATTGCATGGATTGAAGAAATTACACTTATTTTGTTCATGTAGTAGAACTTCTACTACATGAACAAAATAAGTGTAAACATAAAGCCTCGTTTTTTTGGCTGGACAGAATATTAATGAGAACATTTACTACATGAAATTAATACTGTTTCTTTCCAAATCAGTTTCGACCATTGGAGTGCCTCTGTAGTATAACACCTGATTGCCTTGCAGAGCCTGGGTTCTATTCTCATCATCATCATCATTATTATCAACCTGACTACGTCCACTGCAGGACAAAGACCTCTCCCATGTTCCGCCAGTTAACCCGGTCCTGTGCTTGCGGCTGCCAATTTATACCCGCAAACTTCTTAATCTCATCTGCCCACCTAACCTTCTGTCTCCCCCTAACCCGCTTGCCTTCTCTGGGAATCCAGTCAGTTACCCTTAATGACCAGCGGTTATCCTGTCTACGCGCTACATGCCCGGCCCATGTCCATTTCCTCTTCTTTATTTCAACTATGATATCCTTAACCACCGTTTGTCCCCTAATCCACTCTGCTCTCTTCTTGTCTCTTAAGGTTACACCTACCATTTTTCTTTCCATCGCTCGCTGCGTCGTCCTCAATTTAAGCTGAACCCTCTTTGTAAGTCTCCAGATTTCTGCTCCATAACTAAGTACCGGCAAGATACAGCTGTTATATACATTCCTCTTGAGGGATAATGGCAATCTACCTGCCATAATTTGAGAGTGCTTGCCAAATGTGCTCTACCCCATTCTTACTCTTCTAGTTACTTCAATCTCGTGGTTCGGCTCCGCGGTTATTACCTGCCCTCAGTTGACATAGTCTTTTACAACTTGAAGTGCACTGTTATCTCGAAGCGCTGCTCTTTTTTGAGGTTGTACATTACTTTCGTTTTCTGCAGATTAATTTTAAGACCCACCTTTCTGCTCTCCTTGTCTAACTCCGTAATCATGAGTTGCAATTCGTCCCCCGAGTTACTCAGCAATGCAATGTCATTGGCAAAGCGCAGGTTACTAAGGTACTCTCCATTAACTCTTATCCCTAATTGTTCCCATTCTAGGCTTCTGTAAACCTCCTGTAAGCACGCGGTAAATAGCATTGGGGAGATTGTGTCCCCCTGCCTTACACCCTTCTAGATAGGTATTCTGTTGCTTTCTTTATGAAGCACTATGGTAGCAGTTGATCCCCTGTAGATTTCTTCCAGGATGTTTATATATACTTCATCGATGCCCTTACTCCGCAGTGTCTGCATGACAGCTAATATTTCTACTGAATCAAACGCCTTCTCATAATCTATGAAGGCTATGTATAGTGGTTGGTTATATTCTCACTTGTACTTAAGTTTCTTGTTATTTATCTTACTGGCAAGTTTCCCCCCCCCTTTTTTTTTTTCAAGGACAAGATGTTTTTTCGCTCACAACCGGAGACGCGGACAGCGACGCCAACATCGGAATTTCTGTGAAGCGAGCTTGTTAAAGCTATAACATTCACTAATATACAGTGCACAAACATTATAAATATAAGCATAGGTGAAGAGACAGTCGTTTATCCTACAACCTAATTTGAGAGCATGATCACAGCACACACCAAAAAATTGTTTTAACCTGCAACAAAAATAACCAGGGAGAGTAAGCAGACAATCAAAACAATTCGAGGCCATGTTACTATAGTATAAATCGGGCATAGTAAAGTGAATATTTGCATGCCATCATTTAGTCTTGATTGGGGTATACTAAACCAATTATTCTTGACCGTGACAGACCTCCAAAGAAATCCATCGCAATTCAAAAGCTCGTACCAAGCTTCGCGTTGCAAAGATAGAAAGCTCACTGCCAAATGCAAAGTCCATGACATTCTATGCGATAATGACGGCATCGTAACACACTACCGACATGTCTTACTGGATAAGAAGTCGTCATCTCACGTAGAAAGTGGGAGCTCGCACCCGCTACCCATCCGCGCTTGTTCCCAGCGATTCCGTCCCATATATCGAAGTCGAAATGTTCATAACCAAGGCGCCCGTCCTCCCCCCTAAACGCATGGTGCTTCTAAAATGCTCAGGTCCCAGTTTGGAGGAGCCGCCAGAAATAAAACAGCAAGACGAAAAACACGCAACGAGCAACGCTGTCGATACTTTGAGTTGCATCAAAGTGACATTCGATCAATCGTCAACGGTCTCGCTGCCTTAAAAAATAGTGGATATTATTGCTTTCATATATATTTCCCTTATTAAACAACACAAGCGTGTGTAAGTGGTCATGTTCTGCCAGTGACAAGGTTTTGTTACATTTTCTTCATATTACAGCAATAGGTATTTTTCTCAATTGCAGTGTTCTCATTTGTGAACCTTAGTGCAGGTACCGGTGGCACATGTCGGTGTCACTTCTAGGTGCAGCAAAGTGCACCGGGAAGTAGCACACCATGAATTCACTGCATCTGTAAGTACCTTCGTAAAAAATTGAATAAGTGATAACGTGCAAAGAGGGCCTCCAGCGTCTATCACAAGTGCACCTGGAGTAGGCGCGCCCAAACCACACGAAAGTGCATTCATTCAGATGAGGTGTTTTCAAGAAGGCTGCTTAAATCATCCTTTACGCGGCCTTCTTTGTACATTAAAAGCAATTGATAATACTGTCAAGAGGCTTTTCACAAAAACCCCCTGGTTGATGACCTCTTTTGGATTGTGCTTGAAAAGTTGGAGTGGTTGCCACTGCATCTCTTGAGTTACACCGCTCATCATAAAAATGTCATGGTTATGTTGTACATTGTGATGGGAATATCCGCCTTTTTTTCTTTTTTTTGCAAAAAAACCAAGCAGGAGCTCTCATAAAAGGTAGAAAATGCGAGAAAGAAGGTGAAATTGCTGTAATATTTTGCACTCTGCTCTCGATTGCTAGCTGTCGCGAAGACTTGTCTCATGAACCGTATGAAGCATGGTCACTGTTTCTTCAATAAAGTCTTTTTTTTTGTAACTAGTAAAAAACATGAGCACTGTTTTCCTAGAGCATTTTTGTATTCCAGTAAGTCAACTTGTTTGAGGCTTTTACAGACGTTTTGAGCCATTTTTCGTCTAGGCAAGATGACAGTGGTTGAAATGGTAGCGGTCGTCATAAAATTTTTATGCTGAAAATGCTCATTCACATAGAATTCCCCTTACTTGGAGGTTAAATCGAATACAGGAAGTGCAATTATAAGTAGGAAATCGATTCTTAGCCAACTTGCAATGAGCAGCACATCCGGGCCAATCTATACATGAGATCTTGTGTGTATCATAAGCTGTTCACAAATGCGACGCGAGAATGTTGAGTGGAAGCGCATGATGAATGATTAAGTTCAATAACAGTACAACAGAGAAGCAGGCACGAGGAACAGCGCAGCGAACCTTTGCGGTACGCCGCCATAGCAGACGATGCGCCGAGAGTAGCGCAAGGTCAGACTGCAGTGCCGCTAATTCTCGCGACTGCCGTTTGGCCCATTCTCCTCTGCTGGAAGAGATGCGGAGCTTTGAAACTGAGTTTATTCTAGTAACATTGCTAACAGGTGTATATTAGGCCAAATGTAACGCCCCTGTAAAGGTGGTTTCACTTCAGTAAAGGGATGCAATGCCACGAATACACTTATTCAAGATTGCTTCCACTTCTCTTCAATAGATGACATTTGCAGATGCCTTATTTCAGGTTTTAAAAATATTTGGCAGGTTAGTTGGATCATGACAAATATGCAGATTTTTTTCGTATTGAATGTGATGTATACTATTTTAATTCAACTGTATTTTTTTACCAAATCACTATTCACTTCGAACCTAAAATTCACTATTCGCTCAAGTCTACAAAACAACATTGAAAAATTAAGAAATGGATTGACTAGAAGCTCTCAACTATGCTCTGGTTTCAGGTCCCAGCCACATGGGTCTAATCATGTCTCCCTGGGAAGGAGTAAACCTCACTCAATGGTCATTCACCCCTGGCACACCGTACCGAGGCATCAAGTGGAAGAACAACAGGGACGCCACCTTTGTCTACCTCTCTCAAGGAATCGACATGGGACCCTGGAACTTTTGGATTGAGCTGCAGGTAAAAAGTGTTGAATGTTTGGGAATGTAGCAGCGCTAAAAATGTTTTTTGTCAGTAAGAAGTTCGCTATCAGTAAATGTCTTTGTTCGTAGCTCCAGCAGTGGTTGAATTGTTTCGGTATTCTGCTTTTGATAACTAGGTCGGAGCTACGCTCGGCAACAACTTTTCTTGACAGCACTGCGGAAGCTACAGAACCGAAGTGCATGCTTGCTAGCAAAGCTATAAGAAAGTACTTAAGTTTATAACTTTCTCATTTCCGTCGCTGAAATAAATCCCTCCTTGCATAATGACTCACACAGTTGCAGGAAGTCATTTGTAAAGTACTGTCGTTGTTCACTTTACACGAATGCCTTTCTTTTCTTTCGATTTCTAACACACCACCATTTTTCAGCACGCCCGTTTTCCAAAGTAGACATGGCGTCCATGACGTAGTGGGTCAGCGCACGGCCGCAAAAGCATCGTTTAATTCTGCAAGAAATATATACTCGTGACATGACACTAAAATGTGCACTGAACCATCGAAATGTTGCTTTCACATTTGTGTATATATAGTTTTTTAGACAAATTAGCAATACAAGAAAGTAGGACCAAAATTGGCCGCAAACTGCCACATCACTTGGCTTCGAGTTACATAATCCAGAAGTAAGTTACTGTCATTGGCATCGAGTTTTCATTTTCGAATGAGTGGTGATGCAGACATGCTTTACGCCTTAATCTATCTCTCTTACACACACACACACTTGCATATATATATATATATATATATATATATATATATATATATATATATATATATATATTTATATTGAAGCAAGGTAGGCTGGCAGCTATAGTAGCCAGACTCTGAGGAAGACAACGAAGTAGTTCTGTGTGCGCGTGCTCCGGTGCTCGCGTTTCTGGCCCTTGGGTTACGAAAGTAAACGCCCTATTTTGTACCTGCATACCTGTGTCTTTGTGACATTTTCTGGTGGAGGTGCTGGGTACGGTAAATGATACGGTCCCCTGAGAGCACCCCTGACACAAGTCAATTAAGTCGCTCAGCCGAGCTTACCCCTGTGCACGTACGTTCCAGCCGTCGTCTCCAGGGGCTCGAGCCACAGCACGGCTTGCTGCCTGAACGTCAGAGGACTATGAATCAAACACCGCTTAACATCACCGCGCCAGCACCGCCGCACCTGGTTATCAACCAGCCCAAGACGCCGAAGACATTTCATGGAGCTGCTTTTGAAGATGCCGACGACTGGCTCGAGCATTTCGACCGGGTCGCCGTCATCAACGATTGGACCCCAGAGCGTAAGCTACGCTCTGTGTACTGCTTCCTGGAGGACTCCGCGAAAACGTGGTTTGAGAACCATGAAGCAGCACTCACGTCATGGGATGAGTTTCACCGGCAGTTCCTCAAGGCATTTGTCCGAGAGGACAGGAAAGAGACAGCGCAGCGTGCTATAGAGGCAAGGGTTCAAGGCCCTAACGAAAGGGTGACGACTTACATAGAGGACATGGATAGGCTTTTCAGGTGTGCGGAGCCCTCTATGTCCGAATCCAAGAAAGTTCGCCACCTAATGCGTGGTGTTAAAGAAGAGATTTTTGCCGGCCTGATTCGAAACCCGCCTGCGACTTCTGCAGAGTTCCATGAGGAAGCCACTGCCATGGAGAGGGCCCTTCAACTGCGTGCCAGGCAGTATAACCGGGGTGTACACCCAAGTGAGGTCAGTTCTGTCACTCTCGGCAATGACATCAGCGCGTTGCGAGAGCTTATCAGAGCTCTCATTAAGAAAGAGCTACAAAAGATGCAGGCGACTGCTTCACCTGTAGAGCAGCTCTCCATTGCGGAGATGGTACGCGCCGAGCTACGGCAAGCCGTTCACGCTCCCCAACCGTCCGAGGCGCCACAACAGAGGCACTGCGTCGAGATAAGCTAGGCGGAAGCAGTGCGACGTCCTCCATCGTGCAGTTCAACTAGCGTATTTTACCCCAATGATCGACACGCTCAGCAAATGAAGGTAGGCTTCCGTCCTCGCAGCTCACCGAAGCAAGACCGAGAAAGAGTGACATCTGGCATACACCCGACCACAGGCCCCTGTGTTTCCACTGCGGGGAAGCCGGACACGTCTACCGAACATGTCCATACCGTCGTGTGGGTCTCCATGGATTTTCGCCTAATGCCCCTCGTCCGCGACCAGGTGAGCGACCACTGGAAATAGAGAGTTTCATCTCGAATCGTCTCAGTATTGAACATCGGTCGCAAGAGGCTCGCTCGTCGTCGCCTGCTCGCTACAGGTCACCGAGCCCAGCCTATTCACGCAGCGCTCCGAGACGCCGTTCACCCAGTCCTGCAAGTGGGGAAAACTGAGTTCAGCAACCTCCGGAGGTGAGGCCGCTGACGCTGACTCTAAGGAAGATCCTCCACTACGACGAGAGCGACGGCAGCAAAAAGATGTACAGACGCAGTCAAACGTGGTACGAAGAGTGGTGACATCAAACATTGCGGTAACTGTGGACGACGAAGAAGTAATGGCGCTAATTGACACTAGAGCAGACACTTCCGTTATGAGCATGGGTCTTGCCTGCAGGCTGAAGAAGGTTTCCACCCAGTGGGCTGGGTCGCAGATACGTACGGCAGGAGACCATCATCTCACTCCGGTGGGACGGTGAACAGCGCGAGTCAGTATTCACGGATTCACGTATCTCGGAGATTTTGTAATACTGCCGAGTTGCTCGAGGGACCTAATTCTCAGATTGGACTTTCTGCGTGATAATGGAGCCGTGATTGATTTGCAAAAGTCGCAGGTGACATTTTCTACGGCACACGCTTTAGCGCGCAATCCTCACGGCAGTTACGTCAATGCTTTGAGAATTGTTGACAATGACGTCACGTTACTGCCGAAGAGTAGCGTGTTGACCTTGGTAGCCTGCGACGTTTTTGATGAATTCAACGACTATGAAGGTATTGCAGAGGCAAATATCCCGCTGCTGCTCAAACGAAACATCTGCATAGCCCGATGCCTTGTTCGGTTAGAGAATAAACGCTCTCGAGTTCTGCTGACCAACTTCAGCAATGAGTTTCAACACGTCCCTAGAGGCACTACTGTCGCTTTCTTCAGTGAAATCGCCGACTTTTCCAATATCGACACAATGGATACGACTACACTGCATAAAAAAGCTTGTGCTGACCTGGGAAGCCGCATTCACGTTAATCCAGACTTGCCAGATTCACGAAAAGAACGGCTGCTAAACCTTGTGAGGGAATTCTCGAACTGCTTCTTCACAGCATCGAAAGTTCAGCGTATCACCGTTACAAAACACCGCTTTGTTACCGAGGAGTCGGCGCAGCCTCTTCGCCAACATCCATACCGTGTGTCCCCGAAGGAAAGAGAGGTGATTAAGCGTCAAGTTCAAATGCTGAATGATGACGTCATTCAACCCTCGACAAGTCCGTGGGCGTCACCTGTTGTCTTAGTAAAGAAAAAAGACAAGACGCTACGCTTCTGCGTCGACTATCGATGGCTTAACAAAGTCACAAAACGCGACGTTTACCCCCTGCCACGGATTGATGACGCCTTAGACCGTCTACGCCACGCCCAGTTCTTTACATCATTAGATCTCAAGTCAGGGTACTGGCTAATTGAAGTTGACAAGGGCGACCACGAGAAAACCGCGTTCGTGACGCCTGACGGGCTCTACGAATTTAAAGTGCTGCCTTTCGGTCTCTGTTCCGCTCCCGCCACGTTTCAACGTATGATGGACACTGTACTAGCTGGACTAAAGTGGCAGACGTGTCTTGTATACTTGGATGATGTCGTTGTGTTTTCAAACACGTTTTGACGAGCATCTTTCAAGGCTAAAAAGTGTCCTCACTGCAATAAGGAGAGCTAACCTTACTATCAAGCCCGAAAAGTGCTACTTTGGCTATCAGGAACTCAAGTTTCTCGGCCACGTGGTGAGCCCGGGGGGTGTTCGACCAGATCCGGAAAAGTTGGCTGCCGTCACAGATTTCCCTCGTCCTGGAGACAAAAAGGCTGTTCAGCGATTCCTCGAACTCTGTGCGCACTATCGCCGTTTTGTCGAAGGATTTTCGAAAATTGCGGAACCTGTTACAAGACTGACACGGCCAGATACCTTTCGTATGGACGGAAGAACAACAACAAGCCTTCGTAGAGCTACGCAATCGACTGCAGACAGCTCCAGTGCTGGCACATTTCGACGACACTGCCGACACCGAGATCCACACAGACGCCAGCAACGTAGGAATCGGAGCCATTCTAGTTCAATGGCAGAATGACGCAGAGCGTGTGATTGCTTACGCGAGCCGCAGTCTCACAAAAGCAGAAGCTAATTACTCTACCACTGAAAAAGAGTGCCTAGCAGTCGTTTGGGCCATTAGCAAGTTTCGACTCTACCTATACGGCCGGCCATTTCGAGCGGTGAGTGACCACCATTCGCTCTGTTGGCTTGCCAATCTACGGGATCCATCAGGCCGCCTCGCCCGCTGGAGCCTCCGCCTTCAAGAGTATGACATAACGGTGGTCTACCGATCAGGACATAAGCATACAGATGCTGACTGCCTGTCTCGTACTCCTATTTCCCCGACATCATCTGACACTGAACACGATTTACCGTTTCTTGGCATCGTCGATGTGGTACGGATGGCTGAGCTTCAACGTGAGGACACTGAGCTACTTCCTGTCATCCAGCATCTTCAAGGAGAAGACGTTATCGTCCCACGCTGGCTCTCGCGTGGTTTAACAACGTATTGCCTGCGAAACAATGTTCTCTACAAGAGAAATCTTGAGAGCAGCCAGGAAACTTTCCTCCTCGCCGTTCCAACGGCACTGCGTGAGGAAGTTTTGCAGGCGTGCCACGACGATCCTTCGGCCGGTCACTTAGGCTTTGCTAGGACATTAGCGCGCATTCGACAGAAGTACTACTGGCCACAGCTGTAATCGTCCGTTCAGCGCTATGTCCGCACCTGCCGTGACTGTCAGAGGCGTAAAGTTCCACCCCCAAAGCCCGCCGGTTTCCTCCAACCTTTAGATCCACCTCGAGCACCATTTCAGCAAGTGGGAATGGATCTTCTTGGTCCTTTCCCTACGTCATCCTCAGAAAATAAGTGGATAATCGTCGCAACCGACTATCTGACTCGCTATTCAGAAACCAAAGCTGTGCCTAAAGGAACTGCAGTTGACGTCGTGAGATTCTTTGTCCACGACATTGTTTTGCGCCATGGTGCACCTGCTGTTCTCATAACCCATCGTGGAGCAGCATTTACGGCAGAGTTATTGCAACAAGTCACCAAGCTGATGCACACCAACTACTGCAAAACAACAGCTTATCATCCCCAAACGAACGGCTTGACGGAGAGGTTAAACAAAACACTGGCCGGCCGACATGCTATCTATGTATGTTGATGTAGAGCACAAAACGTGGGATGAAATTTTGCCGTACGTCACGTTTGCTTATAACACCTCTGTGCAAGAGACCACAGACCTAACACCATTCGAGCTTGTATATGGCCGTCGCGTCACAACACCGTTAGACGCTATGCTCCCCGTAGACCAGGACACCAGCGGAAATGACAGCATTGACGACTTCATCGAGAAAGCCGAGGAAGCCCGCCAGCTTGTACGGAACCGCATTCGCGCGCAGCAAGATATCGACGCTCGCCGCTACAACCAAGGCCGAAGAAACGTCCACTATCAACCAGGTGACTATGTATGGGTGTGGACACCAGTTCGACATTGTGGGCTTTCGGAGAAGCTATTGCGACGCTACTTTGGCCCTTACGAAGTTGTGCCCTGCCTCAGTGACGTGAATTACGAGGTAGTTCCCCAAAGCTCCGACACCAGTTCGAACCGAAGACGTACACGTCCAGAGGTAGTCCATGTAGTACGGATGAAACCGTACCACGCCTGCGAGTCATGAACACTTCGAAGTTTTTCCTTATTATTCACAACAGCGTGGGCTTTTTTTTTTTTTTGCTTGACGTGATGATTTTTTTTTTCATGGCCACCTCTAGCATCTCAGTCAATCGACCGGGACGGTCGCTCTTGAAAGGGGGGAATGGACGCAAGGTAGGCTGGCAACTACAGTAGCCAGCCTCTGAGGAGAACAACGAAGTAGTTCTGTGTGTGCCTGCTCTGGTGCTCGCGTTTCTGGCCCTTGGGTTACGAAAGTAAATGCCCTATTTTGTACCTACATACCTGTGTCTTTGTGACAATATATATATACACACACACACACGAGAGATATAACTGGTCAGCTGCCAGCTCGTAATAAGTTCACGTGCTACATGACACCTAACAGGCCCACAAAGAGTTGAGCCACACTCGCTGCCATGGCTACTGAGGGCGCTGACTGACACTCCCATATTTAATTTACATATATACCCAATAAAGTGACTGGGGGGATAGCCGCTGTGGTAGCTCAGTGGTAGAGCATCAAACACGTTATTCAAATGCCGCAGGTTCAGTTCCTGCCTATGGCAAGTTATTTTTTTTGCACACTTTTCTTTCTTCGCATCTACATTATAATTAGGCTTAATAACTTCCCCTATACTTTCCTTGGCATTATTGTCTGTTAGATCTTTCTCTCTCTCTCTCACGCACGCACACACACACACACACACACACACACACACACACACACACACACACACACACACACCTACCTGTGTGCATGCAACTTTTAGATAGTGCCCCCTAGTTAGGAATAAAAAATTTTAACAACGCTTTGGTCTCTTACAGGCCATCCAGGGTAGGAAGCCATCTTGTATGGAATGGCCTCAGGGAGGGGGACTTCAGTTGTACTGATGCTTGACTGGACCACCTTACAGCAGAATTGTTCAATCATACCACTTGCGAAACTGTGTTCCGAAATACGGACACTCAGTTGGCCCAATATTTCTGGCTGGGAGTGGCAACACACGAATAATGTGTTTAATAGTGGGTGTGTTGATCAACAAGTAGTGCTACAATCTGCTCACTCCATACATCTAGGCCAATGACGTGTCCGGACTTCGATACATGGAGCCTATGGGGAATTTCGCAACTTGTATGATTGAATAACTGCCTTAGAGAGCTACATCTCATCAGTGTAACATTATTCTTAGCTATAAAAGAAAACTTGAAAAGCACCCATTTAAAGCCCCAAAGAAATCATACAGATTTCTCTGCAAGTCCTAGTTCCCGAAAAATTTGTCTTTGTTTATGGATTGAACCCAGCACCAACGCCATTCCGCAGTAGCTGCTCTGCCATGTGAGCTGATCCCGAATCTAGCAATTGGTAGAACGCCGGCCCTGGAAAGGCAATTGTTCTACCAATTGCTAGCTATTCTGTTGCTCCTGAATTCAATCCCTGGACCAAGATGTTTTTTTCAGCAACAAAAAGGCCTTGTTTCTGAGAAATGCATATGAATTTTTTTTCGGCTTTATGCTTCAATCCGGCCGTCATTAATTTCCCTTTCTCAACCTTCCACAAGCTTCATATACTTCAAAATGAAGGTCTCTCCCAATGATCTCTAATTAAACTTATCTTGTATAACCTGATTACATTTTCAACTTAGGAACTTGTTCATTTCAAGTCACTGCCATTCATTTCAAGTCACTGCCATCTTCAGCTGCGATTTCTGCACCCTTGGTATTCATTCCATTGCTGTAATTGCGCACTGGTTGTCTGTTACAGACATTATGTGACCAGCCCGAGTCTATTTTCATGACCTAATGTCTGCTATAATGTCACGGGGTCAGGACAACGAAAAGAGCAGACAGGACTGTTTATTTGGCCGTACTTGTGGCCAGTAAACGAAAAATCACATAACAGCCACAGACTGGCACTGATAGCGGTGAACAGAATGTCGGCCGTTGATTTATATATATGCCGTTGAATATTCAGCCCTATCACTTGTCGCGCAAGCTCTGGAATAATCTTGAGTGTTCACATCTTGTGTGCAATCTTAACAGAACGATCTATATAGATCACGAACCTTGTCAAACAGTGAGGCGCAGTTTGCGCGGAGCATTTCTGACAGGCTTTGTAGGTGAAAACCGAATAAAAAAAGTGAAAATAAGAAACGCGCCCAATATCAGCTACAACTGTACTTGGATTAATTATCTTTTACTGTGGAAGGAGGCACTTGCTCAAGATTTCATGGCATGTCCTTTAAGATGTTGATGCATTCACACTCGTGCTGCCACTTGCTGGCTTCTTGGTTAACTGAAATTTTTCAACACCAAAGAAGCCTCCTTTTTGAGAAACCCACATGAATTTCCTTATAGCTTCATGCTGCAACCAGGTGGTTTTCAACACAATTTCCTATAAATACACTAGAAGGAACTCTGGCGCTTGTGTCTATGAACAACACATGGTACTTCAGAGAGCATGGGACCAATGGGTAGTACATAGATTTGTCTAAGGTTCTTCCTTCCATCTCCATTTCGCTCAGTGTGGTCTGGAGCCGCTTTGTCACAAAATGACGTCACCGAAATGCAACAATAAACAAGGCCACAGGTGTGTTTGAAGTTGCAAGCATGAAAATTGGGCAAATCCGCATACTACCCATAATTCCTATGGTGGCCGAATGATCACAGCACTAAAGTTTCTTCTAGTAAATATTCCAGGAAGCCATGGTTGCAAATCTCCCTTTCTTAACCTTTCCACCACCCTGCACTTTTCCGCAGAACTGATTTGTGATAATTTCTTTTTGCTCTTGCAATGACAGCTACCCCATGGCTACCCTGCAAGCAAATCTGTTGTGGACATTGCCTTTCATACATACCACCTACAGAAGTCTGAGCACAAGCAGCCAGCCTTTGTAAAGTTCCTCAACGAGTTGCCAGAATGGATTCATGCCACTGCCTGGACATCAAGTTCAGACTTTTTTGTATTCTGAAATCGCTGCATTTTGCCCAGTGGTCGAGTGTTGTGGGGAGTTTCAATGAGAGCCGGGTAGTACACTGCTGTTTGTCATTTTGGAGATTACAGAACACGCGACCACTCAGAGGAATGTTGTGCGTGGGCCCTCAACAAGATTTGGACCACAAGCTCTTCTTACGTGGAAGAAGCAACAACTGCACTACATTTGTGGGGCTATCAGGCCACTATAAACCTGACGATGTTTTGAGGACATTGGCTGGCAGGTAGTGCCACCTGTACAGATATTTTTGTTGTTTGTTCTAAGGGGGCCTCTGCTTGGAAAACACTACTTTCTATAGTGGGCACAAATGTGCATGTATAGGTAAAGATTATGAAGTGTCAGATTATTCCTACACTCAATTTTGCAGCTGGCACTTTGCATCAAAATGTAAATGCTCCTGGTTTGTGGAATAGTCCGGCATAGCATATATAGCAGCCATGAAATATGTGACTGCACATAGAGGAGTATGGCAGCATCTTGCAATCTGAAGTGAATATGAATGAAAGTGAAGTACTTTGCTGCAGAGTTTTTTTGGTAGTGCGAACAACTAATATCTTTCAAGCAATTGTTGCTGATGCCATAGCCAAATAACTCCACTTGTAACGCATCTTTGAAGTTTACAAGGAGAGGCCTCTTCGAATGGTGTGTCACCAACCTTTATTCTGTTATGTTGTTTGTTAGCTAGGGTGTCACATAAAGCTTTGCATTCAGTAGATTGTCCTGTTTGGCTGAACTGTTAATATGAGGGACCATTTCGCATTATTCTGAAAAGTGCTTGATGTTCCTTGCTGTTGAAACTATGGGATTATTTTTACTGCTTGACAGTGAACACCTTTTCTTTGAAAACACTTGCCACATCACATTTGCACTTCTTGCAATGCCTTGTTGTTGTTTTTTTCGGTTGGTTGGTTGGTTGGTTAGTCAACAGCAGCACATACTTAAGTTTGAACAAAGGTTGCTGGAGTTTGTGTGTATGTTCTCCAGGTTGTGGTTAAGGTTACGGCATTTATCAGCGTAAGCAATGCCGAACTATGCACAGCTGTTATGTATAAGAGGCAGCGTTCTTGGAACATGCTGGGGTCCAGGCATGTTTGCGGAACTGATTGCCAAGATTGAATTTATAATGAAGTCACACAAGCACTTTTGATCATAATCAGGACAGAGATTAACCAAATTTCTTGATTGCAATCATTAAGTTTGTCGCTGCTGCATGGTACATTACGGCCAAATCCGGATAGAGATTGGCGCAGGTATCAGCGAAATCATAACTATGAAGCGAGACAGTGATGTGCAGAATGTGATCGTGTTGATCCCAATCGGGCATTATCGTGATTAATATAATGACCAAAAGCTTGTTGATTAATATAATGACCAAACGCTATAACGACCAAAAGCCTAACCCCAGCATAGTTTGGTGCAGACATCAGCGAAATTAATATCTCAAAGCCAGATCACCACGCACAGATCCCAATTGTCTTGATCTCGACTGGGCCCGATTGGGATTAAATGTGATGATCAACAAGTTTGTCGCTGCTACACACTCAGCCATCCAGATAGAGTTTGGCTAAGACATCATTGCAATCACAGTGGCGAAGGCAGATCACAATCGATCATGCCTAATATCGATCATGCCTGATTGCGATTAAATATGACGATCAACAAGTCTATCGCTGCATCACTGCGTCACACACTACAGCCTCGTCCAGAGAGTTTGGTGCTGATATCAGCGAAAACACGATCACAAATCGAGATCGTGAAGCGTAGATTGCGGCCATCTTGATATTGGTCGTGCCTGATCCCAAATAAATGTGACATACAGCAGCATGCGATCCGGATCAAGCTTAATAAAGATCTGATCGTGATAGAAAGTTCCTGTGTGACACTGGTATCGCACAGGACTGTCTGTGTGGCTTGTGTAAAGTGTAGCCGGCAAGTAGCTTTTTTAGATCTATTTGCCACCTGACTAGCGTACTTGTAGAATTAAAAAGAATGAAGAGCACTCAATAGGTGCAAATAGAACCAGTGAAGAATGTTGAAGAATTTTGAAGGATGATGTCAGATTAGCATGTGCACTGCCATTAAGATGATAGACATAAGCAGGTTTTTCCCTTTTTAAAAGAGCCATTATTAGCATTTAGTTGTGTGCGATGCAACTGTTCTGCAGGAGAACCCGCAAAGAAAAAGCATGCAAGTTTTGTGTGTAAGTGAGATGTGGTGCTTCAAAACATGTCAAACCTGTGAGCATGAGCATACCAATGTTCATGATAAGTATACTGTCTTAAGGTTTATCATAGTCATTTAGACAGCACGTCATTTAGACGCTGCTGCTGTTGCCATCATCACATCACCCACATAAGCAGACTGTTTCTAACTTTATGATGCACCGCAACAGTTTCTAGAAAGATTGAATGAATCAAGGCATATATTGTCTCACGATGGTCTTACCAAACCTTGGCTTTTCTGAACTTCAGTCTGCATCACGATGGGATAAGCTTATTTGAGTAAAGATTGCATTCCAAGACTGCATCAGGTTCACTGAAGATAAAACAGTGTTTGTAGGGAACTCATAGTTTGCTTAGATAAAACTTGTACAAAAAATGTATATTGTTTTTTTTTATATATACCTCTAAACCCAACAGTTTGTTATTAATCCCGGTGGTTCTAGTCGATGCTTGTGCAGTGCATTAAAACCAAGCTGTTAGGTGCACAGGGTAGAATCTAAATTCACAGCACTTATATGCCATATCACAAATATGTGTTCGCAGTTTCATAAAACAACATTTTAGGTATGAACATTGACATTGTCAATTATAGGTTGCACAGGATGATTTATCAGTTACATTCCTTCAACATGCTTGAAAACAGGAGACTTTGCAAATTTTCTTCAAGCATGTTTCGTATTTCTGAATATGCACGCTCTACATGTGTTAGTTGTTATACAATTTTGACCGTGCCTTCAGTTTGGGTAGGCATAGCGCCGTGCTTGTTATTAGCCACATTCAATGCATTCTAGTCCATTATGCACATGGTTTACTGAGTGTTCTTCATTTCTTTAAGCCCTGGTCTATGCAACATATCATTGTGGGCAAAAAAAATCTGGTTGTGTAAAGTTATACATATAATCCATGGCCTAGTCACAATGTCATTCACAAAAAGAAAGATGGGAGGTGGGGTGCAGACTAAATTAGTGTTTCTTGTCCAAATTGTTCATTTTTCATCATGTGTCATTCAGAAAAAAAAAAGACATTGTCTCAAAGTTTGATGTGCTGTTCTCGTGGACCAATGTTGTTTAGATGTTTATTTACAGTTCACTTAATTTATGAAGTGATGACAGGTGCCTACTGTCACAGACTGTGCACTTAAACTGTCCTGCACTGGAGCATTCGTAAAGCAGGGAGGCCTTTATGCTGTCACCACTATATCATTTGTTAATTTGTTTTTAATAATTAAAACTTCAGACACTCTTAATAAGGGGGGCCACTGGTGTAAGCCAAGATTCCCTTCTTTGCCCCACCATGCAAGCAAGGCCTCGATATAATGAGCACAGATATGAGGAATTATAAGTTATAACAAAGGAAGAGACGTTTTGATACAGTTACAGTATTGTATGTTTATAACAAATTTCTAAATACAAGGAAGTATTTCTGTGGCAGGACCTGGTTATATTAAAGGTACATGTTACACAAAACAAAGTTTGTTATATCTAAAAATTTGTTAGAAACGTAGATTTCGAACACTATTTATTGCAACACTATTCTACATTCACGTCGTTATAACAGGTATTTCGCTATATCGGTGCTTCAGTGTACTGAGGTTTGAGTGTAGATAAAACACTTGATGATAGACGATGTTCTTTTGAAAAAACTTCCAGAACAGCTAAAATGGTTTGATGACACCGCAGGCTTTCAGTCTGCATTCATTGCCAATGCCACAGCCTTTCAATACTTTGTTTACATGGTCAGGCAGCTTTTGTTTGATTGATTGATATGTGGGGTATAACGTCCCAAAACCACTATATGATTATGAGAGACGCCGTAGTGGAGGGCTCCGGAAATTTAGACCACCTGGGGTTCTTTAACGTGCACCCAAATCTGAGCACACGGGCCTACAACATTTCCGCCTCCATCAGAAATGCAGCTGCCGCAGCCGGGATTCCAACCCGCGACCTGCGGGTCAGCAGCCGAGTACCTTAGCCACTAGACCACCGCGGCGGGGCCAGCTTTTGTTTAATTAACAGAGGAGTGCTACTGTTAAAGCCTAGAGCCACCTTTATTTTAGAGGACACTTAGGATTGTGCACATATCTCAGCTAAAGCCTTTCAGTTGAGAGTGACTGCAGATGGTGCTCAGGCCAGTGCATATCTGAAATAACAAAATATACCTCTCAGTGCGAAGCACCATAAGGGCTAGGCTGGTCGGTGTCTCCTGTTGCCAAGGTGTGTCATGGGCCACCACTGAAAATGGGGCAAATCCTACAACTCCCCACTGGCCCACTAAACTAAAGAAGGCAACAGTTGGCTCAACAAGTAGAAGATGACTTTAGGGGGACAGAAGCATGCTTCCCTACATGCAGTAGGGAATTGAAACAAGGCTTGTATGTAAGAAAGATCATGCATCTTATGGTAAGCTGCATTCCAATGCTGTTTGCAGACGACATTAGTGCCTCCCCTACATGCCCGGTTTCAGGTTTAGCGCTCACTAGTGCCTCGTCATTGACAAGAAATCTCTCTCAAAACACCGCATGCTTTGCCCTTCCCCGGATCTTATGTTAGTGGAGCTGAAACACCCTTCCCTGCATGCTTTGCCCCTCCCTTGTTCTTTACTTCAAAGCTAACGTGCGATCTACTTGCTAAGCAGGACATTGCGGCAGTAGTTTCACATGCATTTTCCTATTGAGGTCCACCCGTTACCCTTCTGTTAATATAATCACTCCGGCAGTTAGGGTTTGTCCCTTCTATGCAGAAATCTGCAAGACTTTCTTGACCAGTGAAGAAAGTATTGGAAGACACAATGAGGGCACACAAAATATGTAACCAGCATTCCATTATGGAAACAGTTTTTACTCGATGTGCAGAATATGCTAGACTAGTCAGTGGTCTGCAAGAGGGGTGGTGTTGGAAGGGAGGTTGCTGTGGTTGTGGGTCTTGGGTGTAATAAAATATTGTGTGTCAAATTACTGCAAAAGCCTATCAACTTTTCACCACTTTTTCACCGCCAACAATATGATTTCTTGAACTTTCTGTTGAACTATTTTGTGCATGTTTAAAGGAAGGAAATAAGGTATTAACGAGACAAATACACAAGTGACAGAGACAATACGTATAATGCGGATACGTAATGTACGAATTTTATTGCTTTCAAGTACACCACGTGATTAGCGCTGTCGTAGAGAGGTGTTATAGATTAAGCCGATATCTATTCCCAATTCTTCTTCTAAGAAAACGTTGTTAGAAGGCGTTCATGCAGGTCATTTTTGTTTATCTCCTTGGTGCATTATTCCTTCCATTAAATATGATGTCTTGCTACGTTGTCCCTCATCAGCATTCTCATTAAAGTTTTTTAACTAAACATCACATTCAAAACAACTGGCTGTGTGAAGAGGCACAGCACAAGCCTCCCTGCAAATGACATGCTTCAGTGTCCAACAGGTTGTCTAGGATGCAACATAAAAAAAAGTCTGTGATGTACTAAGACGATATATTCAAGGAGTTGTGATAGCATTTTGTATTGCTGTGCCTGTGACATAGTTGCACAATTGCGTTATACAACGGCGTGTGCCTTCTTTGCCTCTGTGACAGTGCAGAGTGTGCTTGCTTAAACTTTTTTAGTCCTAGCCTAGTGCTGTTCTTAGAGGGGCACTAAAGGCAGAAATTTGGTCCAGCTACACAGGTAGTTCATGTAATGTATAACAGGTAGGGTATTAGTGTGTCGCTAAATGTTGATGCCATAGTTTCCTACAATATTTACCAGAGGAAACTCTGACCCAGCTATTGCTCGGCCACCACGAGAATGGTGCGTAGCATGCATGGGCTGTCCAACTTTTGTGTTTGCGGCTTCGAATGCAGTATTGGTTTTGTCTATTGTTGTGTTTTGGCATTTGCTTTGAATAAGAGAATGGATCCTTGTGAACTTCGTGACCAGGTTTGAATTAGTGAGCACGTTTCCTGAACTTTGTCTAGCAACCAAGGCGACACAGGCATGACGGAGCCAAACGTCACGGATTTGTCAAAAGACAAATCCACACACTACCCATCATTCTCATGCTGGCAGAAATGTCATGCGTTGCAGCCTCTGTAAGCATTAACACCAGAGTTCCCTCTAGTGTATTTATAAAAACTATATAGTTGATGTAGTTAGTGGAATGCTGTATAGTAACATGGGTTGCCAAGAAAAAGTAACACAGTTGAGGGCTGTAGAGGATTAGGCGACATGATGTCAAATTTGCCACCATGAAAAATGACACTAGCCATTTTCCGATATATGGTGTAAAATCCTCGGCTTTTTGGAAGAGGCCTTTGTTCAGATATGGACTTCCAAAATGCTGGTGGTGATGATAAGAGTGACAAAACTACTAAATCAAATAGGCCGATGCAGCTGGTAATAGAGCTTTCACTTCTCGGGAGATGAGCTTGAGACTCTCGACTAGTGGCACGAGAGTCATGTTAAAGGCAGACCGGTCACATTTACCCCAAGGCAGCTATTCAGGAGTGCCACTGACTGCTCACCTAGGCAGATTACTTTTAGCATGAATGTGCAAGAAATAAGCAGCTTAGTCATTTCGGAATAACTTGCAGATACATTTCTGTGCTGCCCTTTAACTTGATTCAAATTATGGCAAAGCATAGCCCTAGAGATACTGAATT